ATATGACTTCTATCAATTTTCTATGGAGCCATGCTGTTTCAATAAGCTTGCCAGGTATAGGAGGCGGACGCGAATTTCGCACTGCGGGCGAATATACTTCTAGTATTGCAACAAAAATGGTAAAACGGTATATATATTTCTTTGTCAGCTTCACGAGGTTCACTATGGATTATGCAGAACATTCCAAAAGATAAATACTCGGTATTTCTGATATACAGATGGTTTGCTATTAATATTTGATTAGCTTCTTGCTTATAGAGTCCCTTCCTTGGCGGATTGTACGATGGACTTGGCGACTAAGCAAGTGATTAATTTTAGTAACGTCTTTTTGGGCATAGATAACGCCATGTGTGTTAGGTATTGACCAATCCATTTTTTTCCAATCTAATTTATATGAAACAGTTTCTATACACGTAGCATGCAATGCAATCCATACCATTTTCATTATTGCACCCCTAAAACATATATTACTGCGGGAGGCCCTAAGATACCAGCAAGAGTATGTATTCATTGAAATAAGTATGAATATGCTCAGTAAAAGGTAAACAGCAGTGGGACACGAATTATGCAGTATAAAGCGTAAACCTCATTGGGACACGAATTATGAATTTAACCTCTATTGATTCTTGATTTTTCTATTGATTCCATGCAGCGCATGCATAATATAGCTTATTGTTCGTCAAGATTATCCTTCACTGGAAGTTTGACGCTGTCAAAACGATGAGGTGTAGATTTAGTTCAGTTTTTGGGATCCTTGTGCTTTTAACAATCGCGCAGAGTCGAAAGATATATTCAGGAAAAGACATCGACTTGAAACGTGTAAGCTGTTATTTTGTATTGGTGAATTAACTATAATGGTAGTCAACTTCCGTTTGTTTTTTCATTACATCAATAACACGGAAGAATAACTCAGACTTAGTTTTGAATGTTACTTAGACAATTAAAACAACACAATTAAACGCACTGTGGCTTGAAATTCTTACACTTAAAGCTATTTGTACTAAAATCTTTTACTTTTAGTTATGCGGAGTATGGTATCTCACATTTGGTGTGAATAACTGGGACTGGAATGTTTTGTGGGGATGTCACCTCATGGTACCTTTCAACACAACAGAGAACGATATGAATGTTTACTCATACGAATATCCCAAGTGAGATGTTTTGCGAAATAACTATTTATCTAAGAATTGTGCTTTTTTCGTGTGTAAAATGCGAGCAAATAATAACGGTTCTTATTTTTTCTAAAAGGAACAAATTAGATGCTCATGTTTCAATCATCGATGATGTGAGGCGGGATTCTTTGGGTTATTATTGGATAAATTCACAAATGAGTGAGTCTCGCAATTTTAATGAGATGGCTATGAGCCAAAATATCCCATTCAGTTATCGTTTCCTTTTATTTCGAAATGTTGCAAACCATTGGGCGCCCATTAACGAGAAAGATTATGAATTTTTCAATCCACAATACCATAAATTTAATCAATACTATTTAAAAAAATTATTTTTAGATGGTCAATGGGAGAACATCAAATTGTTCAACGAACGAAGAAGATCAGACATCTTTACTAAATCCTCTCCAGTCCAAGGTTCTGGTTTTTATAATGTTGTTCTAAGAAGACGTCTAATATTCTTTAACATATTCGAGCTTTTATTTGTTCGCAGATTATCAATGGTATCGTTCTCATCCACATCGCTTTTTTACAGACTACGAGATCTATCTCTGTGTGTTGTCATCTGCAAGCGATGGTAAGAAAATCGTAAAACATTGAATTAAAATTTATTCACTACAATAAATATGTGTACGATGGCATATCAGTAGCTTCTTGTCCGGAGAGAAGTTTAGCCACTGCACAATAACATCCAATATCCGCCTATACAATGTATAAAACTCGAAACTCCAAATGAACAAAATCAACGCGAAAATTTAGCGAAACATGATAATATTTTAGCTGAAGCTGTCCAATTAGATTTAGATTTTTAATATCTCGAAAATACGCGCCGCCAAGGACATACAAGAAAGAAATATCTTACAATTATCTTATACTTATTAATTATATTATTCTTATAGACCGAATACTTTTTTTCGTCCCAGCGATTGCATTCCCTTTCTCATTTGCAAAAATTTTTGTGAACAGTTTTAGTCAATCACCTCAGATAGAATTTCTTCGATTGGTTTCCGGACGGGCGTAGAACGGAAATTATGAATGAATGCCGTTTACAATAGTTGTCTTACTGTGTTTGCAGGTCAGAAAATTTTGCAATGTTTCACCCGGACTCCATCGTTATCTGGCGAGGAGATTTCCAAGTTGACGTCGTTTGCAACTGAACAAGGAATCGACGCAGCGACGTTAACTACCTTCGGATGTGGAGATCTGGTTCCGTCAGACTATTTGTTGGGTTAACAATAGTATTAGCATTTTTGTGAAATGTCGTTTTAGTTGTAATTATTCAGAAGTGGTCTTAAATCTTTATGAAACAAAAACACCGATTATACAAGTATAAAATTTGTTGTGATTTATCAAAAATTTGATTCTTGACATATTAGGTGGGAACTTTCAAACCGTTTCTTCTTAATGCATAATCACACAAAAAATATTTTTCTTGAAATTGATTTCATCATTGTTTGAAATAAAAGATCTTCAAGATCTATACAATATAGCAATCAGTTATTGGAGACGTCTTGGTTCAAATTTGTAAAAGCTTCCGGCTTGCCACAATGAAGATAGTTTTGCAATTGACTGTAAAATCATATTTATTTCGCACAAAATATGACGAAGTCGTCATATTCAGCTTATGATGAGTTATGATGATATGAACAGAACAATATTAACAGATAGATAGGTATATAGTGCCTCTGTTCTTGAGACATAACATAATGGGCGATTAATGATGTCGTAATCTTGTGATGTGACCTTGTATCATTTAGGCAATTATATCTATAATAAATTTATGCGATAGGAATGCAATATTGTGTAACTTATACTTAACTTCATTTGGATATCCCAACTACGTATCGCAATGTGCTACGTTTTGTTTAGATATTTATAACCGAACACAACAAAACTGGTTACAGCGGCAAACAACAAACTCTCTTGTGCAGTATTAATGATAATCTTTTATGCATTGGGTAATATCCTACTCCAATTTGTCGTCGTTAAAAATGGCGCGACTACAGCTTGCAAGGTTATTAAGCAACGGGTGCGCATACTCACAAGAAGATTCCCGATAAAGACAGTTGAGACCTGGGGAAGAAAAGCAAAAACCAGATTAAAAAAGACAAGATAATCCAGTGGGAAAAGCAAGTCGACGCGTTAAAAAGGACAAGAAACGCGAAAGAAGCAGTGAGATAATGCTGAGCAATGGAGTTCATAACCAGGACGGGTAGGAGTCCAGGACTTAGAGTGCGAGTGAGAATGAGAAGCAGGTACGTCACTAAGTGTAAGTGATAATACAAAGCGAAATTGACAGTCGTCAGAATGTGCACCTGGTGGGCGATAAGTATAATATCGGAGAAATAAAAAACATCACAGGCACATTGTTAAGCCGGACAACGAGGTTGCCTGATGCCTCTCTAGGCGCGGGTGTTTTAAACTGATAAAACTGAAAATTCCGCTTGTGTGAAATCTTCAGTGCGGACAGACTTCAGTGCAGCAAGAAATTACATTCATCGCCAATGTGCTTTGATAAACAGGTTTAAATAATCCAAAAGCAAATATGTGAACTGTACTGAGACTGTTTACAATTGTCTATTTTTAATACGTCTGGAATTGAAACATCGATTTCTACCAGTAATGAGCTAATATACGGATCAAAATGTATATAGCAAACAATGAGAATAGTTTCATTGTGTTTGCGTGGCGAAACAACGGTACGAAATGCACTGCTGGCAAATATACTTCAAGTGTTGCAACAAAAACGATATTTCTATGTCAGATTCACGAGTTTTAGTGAATTATGCAGGATATTCCAAAGTAAAATACTCGTTTTTTCAAATACAGATGGTTGATTCCTAATATTCGATCACCTGCTCCTTTATAGAGTCTCTTGCTAGGCGAATAGATAATATTGGTAACTAAGCAAGTCATTAATGTAAGTTACGTCGTTACAAAACTATTTTACTGTCCCCTGCACCTTGATTTCAAAATTCAAACAATAATTGATGCGAAAATTTTTGAGGCAGCAGATGCTGCAAATGCACAATAAGCAAACCCAGATACGTTAATGACTGGCAGAACGATCACTGATGTATTGTTGCAACATATACAGTTACATCATAAAGTTATACGATTTGCTTCAGCCTGTACAAACCGTTCACAGATTTGTTCGTATAGTAAGCGGTTTATTGTATATATATATATATATATATGTTGTATGTTCCAAAATTTTACAAACGTCCATGCTTTGATGTAATTTATTCTGAATAATTAGGTTAAATTTCACACGAGAAAATATGTAAATCAAAATCGGAAGTAGACACGGGTCATCATCGAATCGTCATCTGTATTTTCTAATTTGCTGGATAAGACTTAACCTGCAAATGAGAAAACTAATGAAATCAAATGATACTTCTGCGTTTAATATCATCTATATTGACGATTGTACAAATATTAAATATTTAGTAAGGAAATAAAGACGAGACAAATACAGAATGAAACAATCGCTTTGTTTGTCTTTACTATGATTAAGTTTCAACTGTTATAATTGAATTTCACGGGTTCAAAAATCAAGTTACTTCAGACTGGGTAATTCGGATACCGTATTTGTAGATTAGGATAAGTATAATCAGTAACAATTACATTCAGACAAATATACTTGAAATTTCAAACTTTTCAAATGAACAATTTAATTTTAGTATTTTATCAACTTCGAAAGTCATTTGTCATTAATGTGCTTCACATTGAATCAAAAAATGTTCAGATAGGTTACTCATGTAATTTATGAATAATATGATATTGTTTTGTTTCAACTTCTGCTTTCATTTGGGAAAATATTTTCTTTACCTCTCTTTACTGCTTGAACAATTTCTTCCACTAAAGGAATCCACCACACAAATTTTTCCTGATCTTTGTTGTCAAATGTTTTCGAAGCATCTTCCGATTGGTCACCTGCAATAATTACAGATAATTTGATATAGCTTCAATTGAATATTTTCCTGTCGTTTTTTCAAACTTTTGTTTTGAACAGAATATAAAAATTTAGTGTTTTGAACTTATTCCTGATTTAAACAAACAATTTTAGGTAAAATTTGGTTTTTTAACAATAAAACAAATATTTTCCTTACCTTTCTTTACTGCTTGAACAATTTCTTTCACGATAGGAACCCACCAGAAAATTTTTTCCGGATCATTGTTATCAAAGTTTTTTGAGACTTCTTCAGACTGGTCACCTGCAATAATTACAAAGAATTTTAAATTTTATATATCTTCAATGAAATACTTTCATCTCGTAATTTCAGATATTTTTGAAATCTTCCAAACCATATGGGATAAAATAAAAAAAAAATTTTTCCACCTCGTCCCCAAAACAAACAAAGTATCGTAAATGAATGAAATTGCTTTTAAATTCGGTTTTTATCCTATAAAATAAAATATTTCCTTTGCCTCTCTCTATTGCATGAACAATTTTTTTCACGATAGGAATCCACCAGAAAAATTTTTTCTGATCTTTGTTGTCCAAGGTTTTCGAGGATTTTTCAGATTGGTCACCTGCAATAATTACAAAGAATTTCAAACCCGATATAGCTTCAAATTCAAAACAATTTTATTTATTTGTTGTATGTTGTTGTTGATAAAATCTGGATTATATAAAATGAAAAGTGAAAATTTGTGATGCATTTACTAACAACTAAATCGGATGGAGATTGAGATACAATAATGTGGTTTACAGGGTTGTTGAGTTTTTTTCGACATTTGGGATTTTAAAAAGATATATATCATATATCATTCTGGAATTGTTCGTCGGCATTTAAAATTTTTCGATTCGAATAAAAGTTTTAGTGAAAATACAGGTTCAAATGGCATACCGACCAAATTCCAGAAATAGTTACCAAATGTGTTGGCAAATGTTTGAGAAATGCTCACGTAATTAAGAAGATAAATTGAACTTACGAGACTCAAGAGACTTTGCCCTGTGAAAATAAATGTAGACTTTATTATAGCTTTCCGTAACTTATCAATCTGGAAATTGTTAGAACCTTTTATAATTGAGCTCGTTTGGAATCATTGAGAAAGACATGCATCATTTTTTATACGCAAAGCTGTATTTGAGTTAAGATTAGAAATGAATCAATAATAAACAATGGAATTAACGAAATTTAAAAATATTTTCGATAGTGGATAAATACTCCCGTCTATCTTGGCATTTTATTCCTGAATAAAATCTTCAACTTTTTCATGTTGCTAGAAAAAAGTTCTCAACAAGAATTAATTTAAAGTACATTGATAGAATAAACCTGCATTGTTTAGTTCATATAAAAATTGAAATGTATCAGATTGAATGAAAACAAAACGTGGCGATGAGGTAAAACTAACCTGGTTAATCCAAAACTGCAGATTATCATGGCCAGAACGAGTACTGCAATTTTTCCAGACATTTTTTCTTCCTTGTTCTTCTCTGTTGGAAGTTGACTGAATTTGAAACAAAATTCGACTGTATAGAAAGTTTGAAGCAAGCGCATTCTATACACTTTACCTTTCCGTCTGTAAACAGATGTTTTATTGAAATATAACACGCAATAAAAAGCTTATGTTGTTCCATAAGGTGAATTTTTTGGAATAAATTACAGATGATATCCGGATGAATAAATATTAATTCCTTTTCTAATTATTAAGACTCGGATCCAGCTGTATCAGTTTCGCAATATTCTAATAAATTTGATTTGTAATGTAGAGGCTGATTAGCAGCTTAAATTGTTTTGGCCTAATGTTTTCGTTTCGTTAGGAATTGACCTTACTTTACGCTGACTTTAAAGAATATTCACGATTTGTGTAATTGTTGCAATTCTTGTATATTTAAAAAACGTAAGTCAAAAAATTAAAACAGAAATCAATTGTTTGATCAATGAAATATTAATTATAGTATCGATAAAATTTTAGTTGATTTCTTACTACACTTACTACAATTGAATACAATTCACGGAAGGATGCGACTTTTGAATCAAGGCGGAAATTAATATGGGTTGCCGTTTAGTTTATATTCAGAGAAATAATTGAAAAGGAAAATTCAATATGGCGTTTCTAAATTTCCAAGAAAACTGTTTTATTATCATTCAATCAATGACCAATTTTGTATTATATAAATTTATTATATATATATATATTGATTATATAATAAATAAACCTAAATAATACCAACCGTTTTTTGGATTGAGTTGCAGATGAATGAATAAAGGTAAAAGTGAGAAATCGAGCAAATAACAGCTTAAGATAATAATTATACACCGAGTTTTATTTTAGGAAGTAACATGGTAACCGGTATCGGCGTTAATCGTTTGCAATTTTTATTTAATCAAAAAGTTTCATGTTTTGGGTAGGGACGGGGCACCCGTAGTGTGTGTACCAGGTTAGGATTAGGCCATAATTTTATTACGATTTTCCTAATTTTAGTTCCATTACGAGTTCGGGGACTGTATGGGTTAGCCAAGTTAGCCTCGGAATTTAATTGTTCATTTTAAGACGAAGTGGAACGATGTCAAAGTTTTCAATTTACACTCCTTAACATGAATGGCGATCCTTTTTACTGCCAACATTCGAAATTTTATGTTCGTCAATAAAGAGAAGAAGACTAGTGGATTATTTAAAAAATCATATTTGAAAACATGGATTCCAATGAATATGAAATGCCGAAAGGCTTTAACAATAACAAATCAGTTGCATTTTTCGCATATGAATATATATAACAAAAAAAAATTGTGCATTCAATCGTTATAAAACAGTTTGCTCGGAACTTTAGAAACGACATATTGAACTTTCATTTTCGTTATTATTTCTGAGTATTAGACGACAACGCATAATAATTTCCGCCTCGATTCAACAGTCGCATCCTTCCGTAAATTGTATTCAATGCAGTAAGAAGTGCAGTAAGAAGTAAACTAAAATTTCATTGATACTATAATTGATATTTCATTTATTAAAAAACTAGTTTCCTATTTAATTCCTTGATTTACGTTTTTCTTTCAAATGTACAAGAAAGGCAACAATCACACGAGAGCAATGAGAACATAAAATGAGAACAATTTCTACGAAAAGAAAATATGAGACCAAAACAATTTGAGCTTCTAACCAGCCTCTACATTACAAATCAAATACTATAGAATATTGCGAAACTGATACATGTGGATCCGATTCTTAATAATTAGAAAAGTAATTAATATTTATTTATCCGGATATCATCTGTAATTTATTCCAAAAAATTCACCTTATGGAACAACATAAGCTTTTTATTGCGTGTTATATTTCAATAAAACATCTGTTTACAGACGGAAAAGTAAAGTGTATAAAATGCGCTTGCTTCAAACTTTCTATACAGTCGAATTTTGTTTCAAATTCAGTCAACTTCCAACAGAAAAGAACAAGAAGGAAAAATGTCTAGAAAAATTGCAGTATTTGTTTTGGCCATGATGATCTGCAGTTTTGGATTAACCAGGTTAGTTTTACCTCATCGCCGCGTTCTGTTCTGATTCATTCAATCTGATACATTTCAATTTTTATATGAACTAAACAACACAACGTAATTCTATCAATGTACTTTAAATTAATTTTTGTTAAGTACTTTTTTCTGGCAACATGAAAAAGTTGAAGATTTCATTCAGGAATAAAATCGTCAATTCCACTGTTTATTATTGATCCATGTTTGATCTTAACTCAAATATAGATTTGCGTATAAAAAAGGATGCATGTATTTTTCAATAATTCCAAACGAGCTCAATTATAAAATGTTCTAACAATTTCCAGATTGATAAGTTACGGAAAGCTATAATATAGTCTACATTTATTTTTACAGGGCAAAGTCTCTTGAATCTCGTAAGTTCAATTTATCTTATTTATTACGTGAGCATTTCTCAAACATTTGCTAACACATTTGGTAACTATTTCTGGAATTTGGTCGGTATAACATTTGAACCTGTATTTTCACTAAATCTTTATCGAAAATTTTTAAATGCTGACGAACAATTCCAGAATGATATATGATATATTTTTAAAATCCCAAATGTCGAAAAAAACTCAACAACCCTGTAAATCACATTATTGTATCTAAATCTCCATCCGATTCAGTTGTTGATAAATGCATCACAAATTTTCACGTATTGATTTTATATGATTTAAATTTTATCAAAAAAAAAAAAAAGGAAAATGAAAAATAAATAATCTTATTTTAAATTTGAAGCTATATCAAATTTGAAATTCTTTGTAATTATTGCAGGTAACCAATCTGGGAAATCCTCGAAAACCGTTGATAACAAAGATCATGAAAGATTTTGGTGGATTCCTTTAGTGGTAAAAATTGTTAACGCAGTAGAGAGAGGTAAAGCCAATAATTCGTTTTATTAAAAATCCGATATATTTTGTTTTATATAATTCGAAATTTTCAGAAATTTGAAAATACGAGATGAAAGTATTGAATTGAAGCCATATAAAATTTAAAATTTTCTGTAATTATTGCAGGTGATCAATCTGATGAAGCGTCAAAAACATTTGACAACAAAGATCAGGAAAGATTCTGGTGGATTCCTATAGTGGATGAAATTGTTCGAGCAGTAAAGAGAGGTGAGACGTATGTTTTGTTTTAGGATAAAAACTGAATTCAAAAGCAATCTCATTCATGTATGATATTTTGTTGGTTTCAATTGCGGGATGAATAGAAGAACACACTAAATTTTTACATTTTATCTCATATGGTGGGAATATTTCAAAAAATCTGAAAATACGAGATGAAAGTATTTAATTGAAGCTATAGAAAATTTAAAATTCTCCGTAAATATTGCAGGTGACCAATCTGATGAAGTTTTAAAAACATTTGACAACAAAGATTAGGAAAGATTCTGGTGGATTCCTATAGAGGAGGAAATTGTTCGAGCAGTAAAGAGAGGTGAGGCGGATATGTTGTCTTATAAATGAAAGCAGAAGTTGAATCAAAGCATTACCTATATTCTATATTATTCATAAGTTACATGAGTAACCTATCTGAAAAAAAATATTTTAAGAAACATTGTTCAATTGTAAGAGCAGTTAAACTGATCAATTCATCATCAGAATTCAATCTAATGTATTTCACAGGAAACAAAGTACATACTTTCATAAAATGTTAACAATAAAATTATTTTGATCTATTGATGACTGATATATTACTTCAAAGTTGATGAAATACTAGAATGATATTGTTCAATCGGAAGATTTGAAATTTTAATTATATTTGTCTGGATGTAATTGTTACTGGTTATACCCATCCCAAATTATCAATACCGTTATCTAAATAACCTAGTTCAAAGTAATTTAATATTTGATATTTTTGATTTTAATATTGAGAAAATTTCAAAAATACCGTAAATATAGTAAAGACAAACAAAGCGGATGTTTTATTCTGCAATTCTTCACTCGCCTTGTTGTCTTTATTTCTGTATTGGAATATTTTGTATCTTTGTTACAATCTTCTCTAAAAATATTATTTAGCGCATAAGTATTATTTGACTTCATTAGTTTTTCTTCGGCAGGTTAAGTCTTATCGAGCAAATTTGAAAATACAGATGACGATTCGATGATGACCCGTGTCTACTTCCGATTTTGATTTACATATTTTATCGTGTGAAATCTAACCTAATTATTCAAAATAAATTACATCAAAGCATGGACGTTTGTATAATTTTAATCAACGAATGCCAAGAAAGATATTAGGACATAAACATACGATAAACCGCTTAATATACGAACAAATCTGTGAACTGTTTGTACAGACTGAAGCAAATGATAAAACTTCATGATGTAACCTATCCTATCCTATCCTAACTGTAGTTATTGCAACACTATGTCAGTGATCTATCTGCGAGTCTCTAACGTTTCTGGTTTGGCTCATTGTGCTTTGCAACATCTGCTACATTTTCGCAACCTATATTGGTGGGTTCATTGTGAAAAATTGCAAATTTTATGATCTGAAAACAAAATGATATCAGCGTCAAATCGACGCATCATTTTGAAATCAAGATGCAGGGGACATTAAAATAGTTTTGTAACGACGTAACTCACACTTATGACTTGCTTAGTTACCAATATTATCTATCCGCTTAGCAAGCGACTCTATAAACAAGCAGCTTATCAAATATTAAGAACCAACCATCTGTATTTTGAAAAAATTATCCAATAATAACCCAAAGAATCCCGCCTCACATCATTGATGTTTGAAACATGAGCATCTAATTTGTTCCTTTTAAAAATACGAACTGCATTCAGTTACATTTTGTATTAACACTAATAATAGTTACTTCGCAAAACAGCTCACTTTGTACGAAATTCGTATGAGTACACATTAATATCGTACTCTGTTGTATTGAAAGGTACAACAAGGTGACATCCCCATAAAACATTCCAATCCAAGTAATTTACACCAAGTGTGAGATACCATACTCTTCATAACTAAAAGTGACGCCTGGGTTATTCTTGTTTGTTATTGATGTTATAAAAAATGGAATTTGACTACAATTGTAGTTCATCGTTGACATAAAATACCAGCTTACACGTTTCAAGTCGATGTTTTTTCCTGAATATATCTTTCGACTCCGCGCGATTGTTAAAAGCACAAGAATCACGAAAACAGAACCAAATCTACACTTCATCGTTTTACCATCCTCAAATCTTGAGTGAGGAATAGGCTTAAAGAACAATAAGCTATATTGTGTATATGCTGTCGGGAATCGATAGTAAAGTCGAAAATCATTAGAGGGGAACTGTATAATTCATGTCTCAATGCTGTTTACTCTTTTTGCTGCGCATGTAGATTGGCTGGGCGGTGTGGCGCATTGTGCTAAGCGTGAAAATACGCTTGACACATTACCTGATTACCCTCAATGATTCCGTTGGTTCGAATCCCGGGGAAGATAATTATGTGCGAGAGGATTGCTAGACTCTTGGCCGCCGTTGTAGGATGGTTCACGCAATCGCTAGAAAATTACGGCTTTACTCGACCACCAAGCCCAACCATGCACAGAAAACAAAAAAAAACTGGCCCACTGATCCCATACCGGCGACATGGACTGGTAACCGGACGATAGATTTGCCGTATTATTAAGTCGTCTTATCGTCTTTCCTCTCCCCCGAGATAATTATGCAAATTGTAATTCCTATTCACGCCTGCTTAACCTGAAGCGCAATGCTCGTGTCGAACCACCCCATCACGTGTTGGAGTTGTGACCTGCTAGATTCCCGTGTAGAGAGATTTTCACTTTTAATAAGACAAAAGAGCTGTGCTCAAATATATGGACACGTTAACCAGAGCGAAGCAGTATTTACCTTTGACGCCACCGGTACCCACATAAAATTCCGAGTTTCGCGTAGAAATAATTTACAGATCAAACCGGACAGCCAGTGTTCCCATGGATAAAATAATACAGCGAAATTTTAGACGAAATATCAGATTTCATGCAAAATTTAGAAATAAATAAAAGGTATTAAGGTGTTCAGTTGGTTATGGCCTCTATATCGCAAAAACTTGATACAAGGAGAGGTAAAACTCACTGCAGGATGACTGTTTGCAGGTATTGCGACAAAAACATTGTTTAACCAGTAGATCGCGTGGCGCAAGTTAAGTTCCTTTGCATTCTTATTTTTCAGTATAATTGATGCTGAAATTAGATTTCCCTAGAAGACTAGTTATAAAGTATATTATATTGCAACAATATAGAGCTTGCGTAACAAGATATGTTTTTAAACAAATGCTTTACACATTTTATATTCTTTTGTATTTAAAATATTGAAAGTAATAACTAGCTCAATAACTAGCGTGTTGTGCATGCACTCTCAAGCTGTGGCTGTGGAGGAAGCCGAAAAACGGCAAGCCCTTATGTGAACCACCTTGCAAAGACGAGGGGTTCAGCAATTTGCTCGTTCAGTGCCCCGTCACTCTTGAGATTCGAAGGTACGTTACGTAGGTACAATACTTGAAATATATATGCTTCAGGAATAAGCCCGAATAACCCAGATGCGCCGAACAGAAAATTATTTTGAAGCATTCGAAACGATACCATGTGACGTCATGCCTAATAACCATTAATTACCACTGCCCATCATTACCTAATACACCGTTTAGTATTGGTCAAAACGGATCACTGGATAGCTATTATCAGAACGTCGTTTCTTGTCCGAAAATCAAATACCGTATTTGTCCAAAATATTCTTTTGACACCAAACTTTAAACATGATCTACATGAATATATATTGTGAGACCGACATGACATGTAGGTATTCACATCAATTAACTAGAGCAAAGTTTAGTAAAGATGACGCAGATGTCAGTGGGTGATTTAAAACATAAATTACATGTTTATTGAAGATTCTATGTTCTGATCCGAATTCATGAATGACCTTCGAAGCTATATTGAAGCAGGGAAAAACTTATCAACACGTCACAAGAGATCCGGATCGGGTTTTTAATAAAGCGTTTAAAAACCTTTCAACATAAAATTAGTAGAGAAATATTCAAGTTTAGTCTTGTAAGCCGTAGTGATGGTAGTCAATGCGAGTTATACTGAAATTCATTATCCAAGAGCATTATCCATTTCTCGAGGCAGGCAGCATTGCAAGTGTATGCTGTGTAGAGTAGCTAAAATTTAATGAATTATCAAGAATAAATGCCATGCTCCTGCTGTCATACTGCAGGAAGACCTAAGATACCAGCAGGAGTATTCATCCATTGAATAGGATTTACATATTTATTTAGAGGACGAGGGAAGACAATAATACCACTTATTCATATGGCCAATCACAGTCTATTCTCCGGTTACCAGTACATGTCGCGGGAATGGGATCGGTAAGCCAATTATTTTGTTTTCTGTGCATGGATGGGCTTGATGGTGGAGGACTGTAATCTACCAGCGTTTGCGTGAACCATCCAACGGAGGCGGCCAGGAATCTGGCAATCCTCCCGCACAAAATTATTTCTCCCGGTATTCGAACCTGTGAACCCACGCAGAGTTTTCAGATGCTGAGACAAGCGATTTCCACGCTTAGCACGATGCGCCACACCACCGAGCCAATCCAGAGTATGCACAGGAAACAGGAAACAGCATTGCGACACGAATTATGCACTTAGCCTCTATTGATATTTCTATTGCAGACATTATATACACAATATAGCTTATTGTTCCTTAAGCCTATCCCTCACTCAAGATTTGAGGCTGTTAAAACGATGAAGTGTAGATTTGGTTCTGTTTTCGTGATTCTTGTGCTTTTAACAATCGCGCGGAGTCGAAAAATATATTCAGGAAAAGAAATCGACTTGAAACGTGTAAGCTGTTATTTTATGTTGTCGTATTAACTACAATTGTAGTCAACTTCCGTTTGTTTTTGTAACATCAATAACAAGTAAGAATAACCCAGACTTAATTTCGAATGTTACCTCGGCAATTAAAACAACACAATTAAACGCACTATGGCTTGAAATTCTGACACTCAAAGCTATTTGTACTAAAATCTCTTACTTTTAGTTATGCGGAGTATGGTATCTCACACTTGGTGTAAATACCTGGGACTGGAATGTTTTGTGGGGATGTCACCTCATGGTACCTTTCAATACAACAGAGAACGATATGAATGTTTACTCATACAAATATCCCAAGTAAGCTTATTTGCGAAGGATTTATTTATCTAAAAATTGTGCTTTAATAGAGTGTAAAAAGTAACTGAATGCTAACAGTTCGTATTTCTAAAAAGAACAAATTAGATGCTCATGTTTCAATCATCGATGATGTGAGGCGGGACTCTTTGGGTTATTATTGGATATATTCACAAACGGGTGAGTCTCGCCGCAATTTTAATGAGATGGTTATGATGTCATCACACAAGAACAAAATATCCCATTCAATTATCGTTTTATTTCGAAGTGTTGCAAACCATTGCGCCCCCATTATCAAGAAAGATTATGAATTTTTCAATCCACAATACCATAAATTTCATCAATACTTTTTTGAAAAATTATTTTTAGATGGTCAATCACAAAGGAGATCAGGCATCAATATTGAATCCTCTCAAGTCCAAGGTTCTGGTTTTCATAACGTTGTTATTAGAAGACGTCTAATTTTCTTTAACATATTCGAGCTTTTATTTGTTCGCAGATAAACAATGGTATCATTCTCATCGACATCGCTTCTATACAGACTACGAGACCTATCTCTGTGTGCTGTCGTCTGCAAGCGATGGTAAGAAAATCGTAAAACATTGAAATAAAATTTATTCACTACAATAAATATGTGTACGATGGCATATCAGTAGCTTCTTGTCCGGAAAGAAGTTTATCCACTGCACAATAACATCCAATATCCGCCTATACAATGTATAAAACTCGAAACTCCAAAGAACAGAATCAACGTGAAAATTTAGCGAATGATATGATAATATTTTAGCTGAAGCTGTCCAATTAGACGTTACGCTTTTAAATATCTCGAAAATACGCGCCGCCGGGGCCCACAAGAAAGAAATATCTTACAATTATCTTATACTTATTAATTATATTATTCTTATAGACCGAATACTTTTTTTCGTCCCACGATTACATTCCCTTTCTCATTTGCAAAAATTTTTGTGAACAGTTCTAGTCAATCACTGCAGATAGAATTTCTTCGATTGGTTTCCGAACGGGCGTACCCTGTCAGGATAACTAGTTTGACTTTGCCCTAACCCACAAACCGCTGGTATTAATATTTCCGTCTGTAATTTAGAGAACGGAAATTATGAATGAATGCCGTTTACAATAGTTATCTTACTGTGTTTGCAGGTCAGAAAATTTTGCAATGTTTCACCCGGACTCCATCGTTATCTGGCGAGGAGATTTCCAAGTTGACGTCGTTTGCAACTGAACAAGGAATCGACGCAGCGACGTTAACTACCTTCGGATGTGGAGATCTGGTTCCGTCAGACTATTTGTTGGGTTAACAATATTATTAGCATTTTTGTGCAATGTCGTTTTAGTTGTAATTATTCAGAAGTGGTCTTAAATCTTTATAAAACAAAAACACCGATTATACAAGTATAAAATTTGTTGTGATTTATCAAAAATTTGATTCTTGACAAATTAGGTGGGAACATTCAAACCGTTTCTTCTTAATGCATAATCACACAAAAAATATTTTTCTTGAAATTGATTTCATCATTGTTTGAAATGAAAGATCTTCAAGATCTATACTATCGCAATCAGTTATTGGAGACGTCTTGGTTCAAATTTGTAAAAGCTTCCGGCTTGCCACAATGGAGATAGTTTTGCAATTGACTGTAGAATCATATTTATTTCGCACAAAATATGACGAAGTCGTCATATTCAGCTTATGATGAGTTATGATGATATGAACAGAACAATATTAACAGATAGATATATAGTTGCTTTTCTTCTCGAGACATAACATAATGGGCGATTAATGATGTCGTAATCTTGTGATGTGACCTTGTATCATTTAGGCAATTATATCTATAATAAATTTATGCGATAGGAATGCAATATTGTGTAACTTATACTTAACTTCATTTGGGTATCCCAACTACATATCGCAATGTGCTACGTTTTGTTTAGATATTTATAACCGAACACAACAAAACTGGTCACAGCGGCAAACAACAAACTCTCTTGTGCAGTATTAATGATAATCTTTTATGCATTGGGTAATATCCTACTCCAATTTGTCGTCGTTAAAAATGGCGCGACTACAGCTTGCAAGGTTATTAAACAACGCGTCATGCTCATAAGAAGGTTCCCGATAAAGACAGTGGAGACCTGGGGAAGAAAAGCAAAAACCAGGTTAAAAAAGAAAATATAATCGAGTGGAAAAAGCAAGTCGACGCGTTAAAAAGGACAAGAAACGCGAGAGAAGTAGTGAGATAATGCTGAGCAATGGAGTTCATAACCAGGACGGGTAGGAATCCAGGACTTAGAGTGAGAATGAGTAGCAGGTACGTCACTAAGTGTAAGTGATAATACAAAACGAAATTGACAGTAGTCAGAATGTGCACCTGGTTGGCGATAAGTATGATATTAGAGAAATAAAAAACATCACAGATTCACAGGCACATTGTCAGGCCGGACAACGAGGTTGCCTGATGCCTCTCTAAGCGCGGGCGTCTAAACCGATAAAACTGAAAATTGCGCTTGTGTGAATTCTTCAGTGCAGCAAGAAATTAAATTCATCGCCAATATGCCTTGATAGACAGGTTTAATTAATCCAAACGCAAATATTTATATGTGAACTGCACTGAGACTGTTTACAATTGTCATAATTGTCTATTTTTAATACGTCTTGAATTGAAACATCGCTTTCTACCAGTAATGAGCTAATGCAGGGGTGTGCAAATCTTTTATTTGTAGAATGTAGAGTAATCGGTTGAGCAAAGGTGCGGATGTGAGTGAAACCAGGTCTGTCCTGTAAGTAAGGAGGAGTACATTTACTTGTTTAATTTTTTGCTTCGGAAACAACTATTTTATTTTTCACCTTCTGAAAGAAGTTTCGTATTTCGGTCAGCTGATTGGTATTATCGGTATGACATCAGGTTGGTATTATATCAACTACGAAGTTCAGAACAGACAAGTATAATGAATAAAATGAAAAGCACGCTTACCGGTGTGTGTTTGCATCCAATATTGGCCCAAAGAATCCCGCTTGCTGGCTGTTATTACGGTATGTGGAGCCTCCGATTTATCTCTGTTAGAAATCAGTTAAAACGGTTGTTACTACTCGCTTGTTACTACTCATTTGTTAACTATTTTTGGACACGAAATGAACCTATAGATGGTTGTTCTTGTTGTTATAAAAAATCGCCCTTCTCTTTAATTACTATAGAGTATAGACCAATTGCTTTGTAATTACCAGTTTTTGAAGATTGCATTTGTCGCTATAGGGCTATTACTTTTATTGATTTCAAATATTTCTGTGTTCTCAATGGGATTTGTTTGTTTTGTGTATACGATATCGAATCAAAATTAAAAATTGAGCACCCTGTGTCGGTTCCACGGTTCGCGTTGGTTGCTTTCTGGTGGTCAGACGAAGTCCTGCAGTACCGATAGTCTAACGTGAAAAATTGCATACCCGTACTACCTCGCTTTAGAATTCGGTCCATATATTTGAGCATTGATCTTTTGTTCGTGCAATATTTTTTTTTTCTGACTTGAAAAGAAGTAAAACTTACTCAGGAATATTGTACGTGTACATATTCATCTCATTCACTGTAATGTTGAAAGGTGCAACGATGTGACATTTCCACAAAACATTCCAGTTCCAATAATCAACACCGAATGTTAGAAACCAAACTCCACGTAACTGAGAGCAAATTATATTTATTTTGTATAATTACGAAAGCATTACAAACTATTTTATGCTAGTATAGAAATATAATATTTGATACCAAACTATTCCCCTAAATTGTCTACAACAAAATGACCATAGATTTGAGGTAAAGGTAACATTCGAAAAAAGCCGACGAAAATGGAAATATTTTATGAGCGATGACAGTCATTTAGATCAGGGACGTGCAACCTACGTCCCACGGGCGAAATGCAGCCCACGAAGAAAAACTGTAGGGCACCCGTAAAGCGCCAATTTTGAATGGAGTGCGGCTCACGAAATGAGTTTATAATTTAGTTTAATCTGGTGCCTGCGAGTAATTTCAATCCTATTGCGTTGTAACGCCTATACCTGAGTCAAATTTATTATCTATGTCTATGACGTTACAATTCCCTAACAGCTAGCTATTGGGAAGCGAACGACGCACGCTACCCAGTATCTGGCCTTCCTGTATCGAATGCTGCACACCCTTGATTTATATTCTTTCAGGTTCAAATAAGAGGGCAACTTTGTAAATTTAGTTTCTGATTTTTACTAAAATCTGATTTTGTAACTTACGCGTTCAATATCTATTTCGTTTCCTGAATATATTTCTTGACTCCATGCACACGATAGAAACACAACAGATATTAACACAGAATTTCGCAGAGACATCGCATCCGACCTTGTGTATTATATGTATATCCCAATATAAATGAATGATAGAACGCTTCCAGAAAAAATGTTGTGGAGAAATTATAAACATTACACATTATCTCATGATGCCCCGGTGCCATTGTTTTGTCTGCTGTTGTTCGTCATATTTCATCTGTAAGTTTTTATTGTGTGAGTGTAGCCTACACCAGGGCTACTCAACTGGCGGACGCGCGGTTCGAATCCGGACCTTTCGGGTATTCGATTCGGACCGCGCATAATCCTTCATTTTGAATGATTAGCCCCACTTTTGAAGTTTTCTTTATAAAATCACTTTTATAGATTTAAAAATATATATATAAGAAAAGAACTATAACGCCATAACAAACAACCTTGATTAGCTAATAATCATTAGTCGGCCGAGGAATTGCGTGTTTAAAGATGCCGAAATATAATTTTTGGAAAGTCCGGACCCAAATATTTATAAGGTTTTGTATGCGGAACCTTCGGTAAAAATAGTTGAGTAGCCCTGGCCTACACCAGCAGGTTTGCTTCAAAGCGCGAATGTAAGAGCATTTAGATTGTTTGTTGTCATGGCAAGTCTTTGCACGTGTTCTCATCCTACTACTCTCAAAACCAAAATCGTTTTTGTGCACATTTTCAATACTATTGTCAGTATTTCAATAAAAAATGCAAAAAGTGATTCAAAGTGTATTTTTTTTATTGAAATACCCCGCGCATCGCTGTGGAAATCCGAAATGGGGCCTTTTGAAAGCTGTACATACTGCCGGAATAATGATTTCAAAAAATGTTAAAAAAATTCTGCTTCGACTTTTACTCTCGTGGCGTCGCCTCATCACCCACAACAAATTACCTAAAACAAAGTCATTAGATTTTACCAGCAAAGTGAAAAATGCAAGAAAAATCATGAAACATTGCTCACGGGCCTGCTAAACACAATCCTAATACAGGTGAATCACAGGCTCGTTCAACACCTAAATCTGGTAAAACCAGTGTGTTGGTACAATACAATATTGGAGAATTTATTTCCACTGGCGGTAACCTACACTATGGGGCGCTTCCGAAGTATGTGCACCAAGATAGCGCACCTGGTACACATACTATGTTCAGGTTGTGCGCCATTTTGTTGCACATACTTCTGGGGGTCCCACTATGGTACCTACGTACCTCTGAATCTCGAGAAGGACGGGGCACTGTGCAAGCAAATTGCTGGACTCCTCGTCTTTGCAGAGTGATTCACATAGGGGCTTGTCGGTTTTTGGCTTCCTCCACCGCTAAATACGTTTGCGAACGCATTGTGCTACAGCTTGAGAGGGCATGAGCAATACGTTAGTCTTCAATAGATGTTTTGATCGAGTTCTAGAATCGCTTACGCAAGCTTTTATATTTACCTCTTTGTTTAAACCTATTAAATAAAATAGAATAACAACAACAGCAAAATAGGTAAAGCATTTGTTTTAAAATATTATCTTTTTAAACAAATTGTTGCAATATAATATACTTCATACCTAGTCTTCTAGGTAAATCAAATTTTAGCATCAATTATACTGAAAAATAAGAATGCAAAGACAACTTAACTTTCGCCACGCGATCTATCAGTAATTAATCAAACACTGTCGCAATACCTGCAAACAGACCCTTTGCCGTGAGTTTCAACTCTCCTTGTATCACGTGTAACTTCTCGATATAGAGGCCATAACCAACTAAATACTTTATTAAATTACCGATCACCGTCTTTGACAATAATGACAAACGACGCGCCGACGGCGTTCTACTCGAGATTGCCTGATTAAAAGCAAACATCTCGATTACTGGAAATCTGGCGGGTCACTGCTCTAACACGTGGTGGGGTGGTTTTACACGAACATTGCGCTTAAGCTTAAGCAGGCGTTTACGGGCAAGTCATCGATACTTGCGGTGTGTCGAAGGGCACATCGACTTTGACATCGACTTCGATTAGGCAAGTTTTTATGTCTTGTTTTAGCCTATATTAATACAAAAGATACAAATAATACATCTATTTTGAACAAAACAGGTAAAAAACTTGATTTAAATAATTGTTCCAAAACAAATCTTTTTGAACAATCAAAAAGGATCCGACAGGATTGATAAATTCAGCCAAACCGCTGAAACTGCACATATTATATAAACATGACCAAATCTGATTGTCACAAGATTGTCACCAATAGACCTTATTCAATAAAAACCCATCCTACGCGCAAAAAATAAAAGTGATGTAAAATTTTTTTTTTTAACATTAGCTCTTATGGGAAATGTGATCACCAGAGCAGAAGTTTGCATTTTTCGTAATTTTCTAGATATCTTTCATTGTATACGTGAGCAGTTTTGAGGATAGAATATTTTTTACATCTTTTTTGATATTTTTATCATGATAAACATGGTCAAGATTTTTGATAATCGTTCATTAAAATTTCAATGAGCGCGGTGTTTCCGATTACGGACTTTCATACGAACCATCGGAGCGTGACGGCTGCTGCCAGACACTGTTTTTACCTCGCTCTTGGGGGACGCGGCGGTTTCGCTTTTCATTCGCGAGTTTGAGCTGTTGCTTGGTTGAGGGCCAAATTTTCCCGGGAGTGTACTGGATCAGGTGGAATTCGTAATATCTTTTTCGAAGGTATAAAATACGGTACCGTACTATATATACTATGCTGACTATATTAGATAGGATGTCCGACTACCAGTACTGCAGTACCTGGTGGCACTGAAGCAGGTACCTGCCATACAGTTCTTCAAGTTGTGTCAATGCCACTGCTTACTACCGCGTTTCCCCGAAAATAAAACCTTGTCCGAATTATGAAAATTATTGTAATATAAGCCCTTTAAAATGATAGTCCATACCTAAATTAGAAGAAATTGTAACTTGATGGCAAATTTGTGGAGCGAAATCACAGGCTGAAAGACGTCTGTTTGCTGTTGCTGACTTGACTACATAAGGAGGTGAATATAAGTTGTAATCGGAAACCTCAAAAAAATACAGTATGACAAACCTTTCAAATATTGCATTGGGCCTAAAGACCCCAATCATGAAATAACAAAACATGTTGATTCTAAACAATCATATATCATAGTATATATTTCGATACAAGGTGAAATGACACAAAGTTTCAAACACTGATATGACATTACTGTTTAACATATATAATGTTCGTTGCCTTTTTGATTTTATATATTAGAATCTGAACCTATATATTATTTACATTAAAAACATGAACTATGACAATAGACAATACGTTTATTTCGTCGTGCCAGAAATCACAACACAAGTTTACAACAGATAAAAAATTATGCATTACAGTAACAGATTTCATTGCAATTGACAGGAAATCGCGAAGGACCAGAAATGGTCATCATAAGTCAGCGACACCTAGATTTAAGACGAGTCAAAAGTAAAAATTACAATTAAAGAAAGCAATGGAAAACAGGGAGTGATATAAATATTCATATACGGTAGCATTTGGTAGAGAGAAAAAAAACATAAGGCGGGAAAATTCAGTGATTAATTTTTTTTTATCTTCGTTCATTTCGTCATGCAGGAAATAATACACAAATTCAAGGCACAGCTTATACAATACAGAAACGGATTTAGTCGCAATTTAAAAGCAGGTGGCTTTCATCGCAAGAAACAGAAGGGGTCATCATAAGTCTGCGACACCAACATTTGAAATGAGTCAAAAATTGAAATAATAAAAAAAGGTAACATTAGAGAATAGTAGTCATTCGAAAAAATTGTCCAACAAGGGGAGGGAGGATAAAGATTCCTGTGAAACATCACATATAATTTTAGAATGAGATAAAAAAAAGTCTGGGAAATACAATAAGACACAGTAGTTTTGAGAAAAAAAAAACGGTTTAGCATATCAATTTGCTTAACTTCTGTATAATGGCAACTATTAAATATTGTCACTTGCAACATCAAATCGAGCTATTAATTTTATTTGCAGAAGAATACATAAATATAAAATTACATAACTTTTAGGTATGATTGCGAAAGCAGAAATCATACTCCATGTACATCCAACATATGAGATTTGAAAGTGAGAAGAGAAAATGATGTTTAAATCAGTCAGTTTAAATCTGACTGTGAAATAGGAAAAACAGTTTCGGTGAACTTATTGCCACCAACTAACAAATGTCAGCCGGGCCATCAAAAATCCAGAGAACAGAAACATATTCAAGCCTTATAAGTCTAAAGGTGATTGCATGAGTAATAGAAAATTTAGAATGAGGTGATTGAGGTATGTCATATTTGATAAAGCAAAATCAATTCATCGCGACTGTAAAAGCTATCATTTTCATTCCCAAAATCACCACCATTTTATACAATTCATGATTCGTTCGCTGTTCTACATAGGTAATATATTCAAAAATTTGCATTGCACCTTATTCATCATGTATGTTTTTCTCAATATATTTCAGATGGTGATTATACAATCACAAAAAGAGCTGTGGTGAAGTTCAAACAAAGTGTACCCTTGCTAAGAATTCTTGGTTGGGAAAGTTGAATTGTGTTCTCATGTTGTTGCAATATATTTTGAACCTACATATGTTGGGAATTCTAAATTAAGCAAAATATTATTGTGTTCAAATTTGAATAAAGAAATTGTTTCTTTTTTATTAATGCTGTTGCAACTAAAGCCAGTGTAATAAGACCAGATCCCAATTTATTGTAAATTTGAGACATAACTTTCCTCAAAAAATTAAGTCTACCTTCAAATTTCAAATGCCATTCACTTATTAATTTCTTGCATATCACTATTATTGCAATTTATACAAATCAACTTATATAAAATTTCATTTTTAATAAAAATAAAAAATATCATAATAATTGTTGAGTGTTCGAGGGGTGCGAGTTTGACATCCTCTGGTCTACCGTGCTGAGAATGCATCCAAATGATATCCAGGCTTCAGCCCCGATCATCTATTAAACAAATTCCACATCCAGTAGGGCGTTTATGCAGAGTCCCAACAACTTGGGGGATCATTCCTTTTCCTAATTTTCAATTGTAATCTTCTTATTAAAACATGATTGGTACCTAATCAAGGGTGAAATTTCCTTTCTTGATAGCTGCTTTCTCCCTCCATATAGTTACATTCTTTTGCAGTTCATACAATTTTATTTCGATTACTCTTACTTTGCAAAGTACTTCATTTCATAGATAGCTCTTAGGTATGTAATCCTTTTCCGCTGGAAAGTTTATCTCCCAAGTATCAGGCAAATCCTGCTCAGTGTATTCCAGTGCAATGACTGAATGAGAAAATCCAGTCTGCCAGTACCATCACTTTTGAAGTAGCTCCGTCTGATTTGTGTGACTGTGTAACAGAGCAGCTCAAAATGCATAACAGATATACAAGCTAGTCTGTATTCAATCTATAAATGAGAAAAAGACTGTTGAAAAAACGCTAACACACAACAAGTCAAAGCAACGCACAAGTATAAACCTGACGAAACGTGCTACGCAACGAGTGTCCCCCTAACCAGCACAAAAAACGTAGCTGGCAGCATCGGTCAAAGGTCATGAAAGTTGGTAATGACGTCATTCTCACTAGACCATGAGATTCTGCCAACTCGCCGTGCTCTGTGGGTTATGCGCTGCAAATACAGCCCTAATGTCCCTTTGGGTCCGTGTCCGTCCGGTACTGGAAGCGTTTAACATTGACAATCTATAACCCGTACCATTTCTATCACGTTTGTTTACTGGTTTTACGCATTTATACCTGTACAGCTAGCAATCATTTACTGAAGGCATGCTGACGTGTTATTCAAACTACCGGTACCGTACCAAGGCTGCAAGAGGTGAAAACTAAATTATTTAGTAAATACTGAAATAGGCGTACGAAAAAAAATGTTGGCCATCTTGCCGATTGGCAGGACAAGTTGTACGGTACCTGTATACAAAAAAGATGAATATCTCCAACCTATAATGGTACAATACCGGTCTCGTAACTAGATTAAAAACATGACTGAATACGAGAGAGAGATTTATTTTGTCAACCAGAATACAAGCATTGAATCAATAAAAATCATATACAAAACACACAGTTATTCGGTATAGACTGGGGAGCGATACGACCATCACAGTCAGCTCACCCCTGCCCCCCATGTTTGCTATCAAGATTAACAGTTAATTAAGATGTTTTAACAAAAACTCCTCGGAGGAAGGGTTGACTAAGTTACGGAATATTTTTGGATTCGGTTAAAAATGTAGTCCATTATTAAACACTGCTTTTTTTGTAGATTTTCACTTAGTGGACACTTAGCAAGTACGACAGTTAATTTATAAAAAAAATTGTAAATTAATAACAAATCATTAGAAGTCAGCTCGGGTATTCAAACATGTGATGAATGAAGTCAGAAAATAATTTGAAGTCACGTTCAGGATATTAAATTAAACAACAATGGAAAAGGTACATTGGAATCAGTCAAGCTTCAAATGCTAATGGCATTAATGAAAAGAATATGCGAAATGAAGACTGAAGTTTCCATCTGAGACATTGGAAGACGCTAAAACCTTATAGACTTGATAGTGTGGAAAGCCTTCTCACAATGCAGTAATAATGGGACATATATTTATAATATCATTATACAGGCTTTAAGTTGAACTATATGTTTGATTAAAATATCTATCTTTGCTAATAAATGCTGAAAACCATTTATTTCAATCTGCTGAGTGATTAGGGACAGAAATTTGCTGTAGGGACCATCACCAGGGCTGGATTTACCAATAGGCTAGGCAGACTGAAACCTAGAGCCTCGAAATTCGGTTTCAAAGTTTTTAATTCTTTTGAAAACTTGACAAGTTTAAACCCTACAAAAAGTATATATATATATCAAGCTTTTCAGAGTTGAAAATTCTGTATACAACAAGTTTCAACCACATTGTAAACAGCCATTATTGCGTCGTTTGCATCATAATAAGGGAAATTATTATTATGCGCATTCTGCTGGAAGTTTCTATAATAAAGTATGGCTGTAGCGGTTGTTTGATCAAAGAAATTGAAAGCAAAACTGCCTCAAGTAAATTATCATTCTTTTAATTAAAAATTCACACCCATGAATGGGGAGAATGAAAAGTTTAATGCTTTCATATTTTTAAATTTTAAGCAATTAAATGCGGTGTTGTTTAGAGTGAAATTCTGAGCTCAAAAATATGAAGTGGCCTCTCATGGTCTAAATCCAGCCCTGAACATCACCAATTTTGGGATAGGTACCGTACATGGTAGGTACCGTCAACATATGAACTGAGTTAGGCCATTGGATTTTGAAAGGTGTACCAGAAATGTACATGGAATTCATGAAATATATAACATCCAATTAAACCCAAAATAGGTCTTTCGTTGAACGCCAGTTGTGGTCCCGGTACCGGTATTCCAGTATGCTGTTATCACAAGCAGTTGGAGCACATATCCCACAGAGCACGGCGCGTTGGCAGAATCTCATCGTCTAGTGAGAATGACGTCATCGGAAACACCGCGCTCATTAAAATTTCAATGAACGATTATTAAAAATCTTGACCATGTTTATCATAATAAAAATATCAAAAAAGATGTAACAAATATTCTACCCTCAAAACTGCTCACGTATACAATAAAAGATATCTAGAAAATTACATAAAATGCAAATTTTTGCTCTGGTGATCACATTCCCCATAAGAGCTAATGTTAAAAAATATTTTTTTACATCACTTTTTTTTTGCGCGTAGGATGGGTTTTTAATGAATAAGGTCTAATAGAAATGACATCATTTGATTTATGTATCAAAACCCATTTAATGTTATTGGATTGGTCTCAAGGCCATAAATTAATATTCTTTATTAGATTAATTCGTCGGTATATGAAATTTTCTTTTACATATTTCTCGTGGCGCTAGCTGCCGTGTACACATGGAGAGCAAATTGGCAGAATAATCCTATAGCAATCAAAGGCATATAATTCTGCAAGCTAACTTGTATTGTTTTACCGAAGAGATTGAGACAGAATAAATTATACAAGTTTATTGGAGCATTTACAAGGTAATGGAGAAATGTGAAAGGCAACCGTTACTTAATTTTAGGGATAAACCTAAACAAGAGATCGATGCTCAAATATGTGAACACGAAGCCAAAACGTACCGCAAACTTCATGACTAACGCAAACGTAAATGCCACAAGATGCACAATATTGATGACATCATCACACACAAAAACGAATAGAGCCATCAATTTTTTTGTAAAATGCATGTGATATCCTTCTAGCAAGAAATACAATCTTCAACCACTGAAAATTGCAATGCAATTGGTTCAGTAGGTAAAGAGAAAAGCCGACTTAGGTATTTTTAGTAACATTAACAGAATGCAGCTCACTTGTAATAGTTAAATATTTTTTTAGAAGCTTTGCTTATTCGGTATTTGGAAATATGATTTTGATGAAAGTATCCAGATAAGTGCCCTTGAATAACTGATGCCGAGCAGCTCTGTATATCCCTTGTCTCTAGCTAGAGTGCCAGATGGACTCGATCGTTTCATACCTTTAATTCTCTTATGATGGAAATCCTATCTTACCCTGGAAAAAATTATAAACTTATTTTTTTATGGAATTGTGTTCTCTTACTCATAGATCTGCGCGTGCAATATGAACGTCATGTGTCTACTAAACACTATTGCGAGCATATCGGTCTCTATCAAGCTCTTTGAGTGTGTATCGAGGATAAATTTCCCAAGTTAATATGACTTCTATCAATTTTCTATGGAGCCATGCTGTTTCAATAAGCTTGCCAGGTATAGGAGGCGGACGCGAATTTCGCACTGCGGGCGAATATACTTCTAGTATTGCAACAAAAATGGTAAAACGGTATATATATTTCTTTGTCAGCTTCACGAGGTTCACTATGGATTATGCAGAACATTCCAAAAGATAAATACTCGGTATTTCTGATATACAGATGGTTTGCTATTAATATTTGATTAGCTTCTTGCTTATAGAGTCCCTTCCTTGGCGGATTGTACGATGGAATTGGCGACTAAGCAAGTGATTAATTTTAGTAACGTCTTTTTGGGCATAGATAACGCCATGTGTGTTAGGTATTGACCAATCCATTTTTTTCCAATCTAATTTATATGAAACAGTTTCTATACACGTAGCATGCAATGCAATCCATACCATTTTCATTATTGCACCCCTAAAACATATATTACTGCGGGAGGCCCTAAGATACCAGCAAGAGTATGTATTCATTGAAATAAGTATGAATATGCTCAGTAAAAGGTAAACAGCAGTGGGACACGAATTATGCAGTATAAAGCGTAAACCTCATTGGGACACGAATTATGAATTTAACCGCTATTGATTCTTGATTTTTCTATTGATTCCATGCAGCGCATGCATAATATAGCTTATTGTTCGTCAAGATTATCCTTCACTGGAAGTTTGACGCTGTCAAAACGATGAGGTGTAGATTTAGTTCAGTTTTTGGGATCCTTGTGCTTTTAACAATCGCGCAGAGTCGAAAGATATATTCAGGAAAAGACATCGACTTGAAACGTGTAAGCTGTTATTTTGTATTGGTGAATTAACTATAATGGTAGTCAACTTCCGTTTGTTTTTTCATTACATCAATAACACGGAAGAATAACTCAGACTTAGTTTTGAATGTTACTTAGACAATTAAAACAACACAATTAAACGCACTGTGGCTTGAAATTTTTACACTTAAAGCTATTTGTACTAAAATCTTTTACTTTTAGTTATGCGGAGTATGGTATCTCACATTTGGTGTGAATAACTGGGACTGGAATGTTTTGTGGGGATGTCACCTCATGGTACCTTTCAACACAACAGAGAACGATATGAATGTTTACTCATACGAATATCCCAAGTGAGATGTTTTGCGAAATAACTATTTATCTAAGAATTGTGCTTTTTTCGTGTGTAAAATGCGAGCAAATAATAACGGTTCTTATTTTTTCTAAAAGGAACAAATTAGATGCTCATGTTTCAATCATCGATGATGTGAGGCGGGATTCTTTGGGTTATTATTGGATAAATTCACAAATGAGTGAGTCTCGCAATTTTAATGAGATGGCTATGAGCCAAAATATCCCATTCAGTTATCGTTTCCTTTTATTTCGAAATGTTGCAAACCATTGGGCGCCCATTAACGAGAAAGATTATGAATTTTTCAATCCACAATACCATAAATTTAATCAATACTATTTAAAAAAATTATTTTTAGATGGTCAATGGGAGAACATCAAATTGTTCAACGAACGAAGAAGATCAGACATCTTTACTAAATCCTCTCCAGTCCAAGGTTCTGGTTTCTATAATGTTGTTCTAAGAAGACGTCTAATATTCTTTAACATATTCGAGCTTTTATTTGTTCGCAGATTATCAATGGTATCGTTCTCATCCACATCGCTTTTTTACAGACTACGAGATCTATCTCTGTGTGTTGTCATCTGCAAGCGATGGTAAGAAAATCGTAAAACATTGAATTAAAATTTATTCACTACAATAAATATGTGTACGATGGCATATCAGTAGCTTCTTGTCCGGAGAGAAGTTTAGCCACTGCACAATAACATCCAATATCCGCCTATACAATGTATAAAACTCGAAACTCCAAATGAACAAAATCAACGCGAAAATTTAGCGAAACATGATAATATTTTAGCTGAAGCTGTCCAATTAGATTTAGATTTTTAATATCTCGAAAATACGCGCCGCCAAGGACATACAAGAAAGAAATATCTTACAATTATCTTATACTTATTAATTATATTATTCTTATAGACAGAATACTTTTTTTCGTCCCAGCGATTGCATTCCCTTTCTCATTTGCAAAAATTTTTGTGAACAGTTTTAGTCAATCACCTCAGATAGAATTTCTTCGATTGGTTTCCGGACGGGCGTAGAACGGAAATTATGAATGAATGCCGTTTACAATAGTTGTCTTACTGTGTTTGCAGGTCAGAAAATTTTGCAATGTTTCACCCGGACTCCATCGTTATCTGGCGAGGAGATTTCCAAGTTGACGTCGTTTGCAACTGAACAAGGAATCGACGCAGCGACGTTAACTACCTTCGGATGTGGAGATCTGGTTCCGTCAGACTATTTGTTGGGTTAACAATAGTATTAGCATTTTTGTGAAATGTCGTTTTAGTTGTAATTATTCAGAAGTGGTCTTAAATCTTTATGAAACAAAAACACCGATTATACAAGTAAAAAATTTGTTGTGATTTATCAAAAATTTGATTCTTGACATATTAGGTGGGAACTTTCAAACCGTTTCTTCTTAATGCATAATCACACAAAAAATATTTTTCTTGAAATTGATTTCATCATTGTTTGAAATAAAAGATCTTCAAGATCTATACAATATAGCAATCAGTTATTGGAGACGTCTTGGTTCAAATTTGTAAAAGCTTCCGGCTTGCCACAATGAAGATAGTTTTGCAATTGACTGTAAAATCATATTTATTTCGCACAAAATATGACGAAGTCGTCATATTCAGCTTATGATGAGTTATGATGATATGAACAGAACAATATTAACAGATAGATAGGTATATAGTTGCCTCTGTTCTCGAGACATAACATAATGGGCGATTAATGATGTCGTAATCTTGTGATGTGACCTTGTATCATTTAGGAAATTATATCTATAATAAATTTATGCGATAGGAATGCAATATTGTGTAACTTATACTTAACTTCATTTGGATATCCCAACTACGTATCGCAATGTGCTACGTTTTGTTTAGATATTTATAACCGAACACAACAAAACTGGTCACAGCGGCAAACAACAAACTCTCTTGTGCAGTATTAATGATAATCTTTTATGCATTGGGTAATATCCTACTCCAATTTGTCGTCGTTAAAAATGGCGCGACTACAGCTTGCAAGGTTATTAAGCAACGGGTGCGCATACTCACAAGAAGATTCCCGATAAAGACAGTTGAGACCTGGGGAAGAAAAGCAAAAACCAGATTAAAAAAGACAAGATAATCCAGTGGGAAAAGCAAGTCGACGCGTTAAAAAGGACAAGAAACGCGAAAGAAGCAGTGAGATAATGCTGAGCAATGGAGTTCATAACCAGGACGGGTAGGAATCCAGGACTTAGAGTGCGAGTGAGAATGAGAAGCAAGTACGTCACTAAGTGTAAGTGATAATACAAAGCGAAATTGACAGTCGTCAGAATGTGCACCTGGTGGGCGATAAGTATAATATCGGAGAAATAAAAAACATCACAGACACATTGTTAAGCCGGACAACGAGGTTGCCTGATGCCTCTCTAGGCGCGGGTGTTTTAAACTGATAAAACTGAAAATTCCGCTTGTGTGAAATCTTCAGTGCGGACAGACTTCAGTGCAGCAAGAAATTACATTCATCGCCAATGTGCTTTGATAAACAGGTTTAAATAATCCAAAAGCAAATATGTGAACTGCACTGAGACTGTTTACAATTGTCTATTTTTAATACGTCTGGAATTGAAACATCGATTTCTACCAGTAATGAGCTAATATACGGATCAAAATGTATATAGCAAACAATGAGAATAGTTTCATTGTGTTTGCGTGGCGAAACAACGGTACGAAATGCACTGCTGGCAAATATACTTCAAGTGTTGCAACAAAAACGATATTTCTATGTCAGATTCACGAGTTTTAGTGAATGATGCAGGATATTCCAAAGTAAAATACTCGTTTTTTCAAATACAGATGGTTGATTCCTAATATTCGATCACCTGCTCCTTTATAGAGTCTCTTGCTAGGCGAATAGATAATATTGGTAACTAAGCAAGTCATTAATGTAAGTTACGTCGTTACAAAACTATTTTACTGTCCCCTGCATCTTGATTTCAAAATTCAAACAATAATTGATGCGAAAATTTTTGAGGCAGCAGATGCTGCAAATGCACAATAAGCAAACCCAGATACGTTAATGACTGGCAGAACGATCATTGATGTAGTGTTGCAACATATACAGTTACATCATAAAGTTATACGATTTGCTTCAGCCTGTACAAACCGTTCACAGATTTGTTCGTATAGTAAGCGGTTTATTGTATATATATATATATATATATGTTGTATGTTCCAAAATTTTACAAACGTCCATGCTTTGATGTAATTTATTCTGAATAATTAGGTTAAATTTCACACGAGAAAATATGTAAATCAAAATCGGAAGTAGACACGGGTCATCATCGAATCGTCATCTGTATTTTCAAATTTGCTGGATAAGACTTAACCTGCAAATGAGAAAACTAATGAAATCAAATGATACTTCTGCGTTTAATATCATCTATATTGACGATTGTACAAATATTAAATATTTAGTAAGGAAATAAAGACGAGACAAATACAGAATGAAACAATCGCTTTGTTTGTCTTTACTATGATTAAGTTTCAACTGTTATAATTGAATTTCACGGGTTCAAAAATCAAGTTACTTCAGACTGGGTAATTCGGATACCGTATTTGTAGATTAGGATAAGTATAATCAGTAACAATTACATTCAGACAAATATACTTGAAATTTCAAACTTTTCAAATGAACAATTTAATTTTAGTATTTTATCAACTTCGAAAGTCATTTGTCATTAATGTGCTTCACATTGAATCAAAAAATGTTCAGATAGGTTACTCATGTAATTTATGAATAATATGATATTGTTTTGTTTCAACTTCTGCTTTCATTTGGGAAAATATTTTCTTTACCTCTCTTTACTGCTTGAACAATTTCTTCCACTAAAGGAATCCACCACACAAATTTTTCCTGATCTTTGTTGTCAAATGTTTTCGAAGCATCTTCAGATTGGTCACCTGCAATAATTACAGATAATTTGATATAGCTTCAATTGAATATTTTCCTGTCGTTTTTTTAAACTTTTGTTTTGAACAGAATATAAAAATTTAGTGTTTTGAACTTATTCCTGATTTAAACAAACAATTTTAGGTAAAATTTGTTTTTTTAACAATAAAACAAATATTTTCCTTACCTTTCTTTACTGCTTGAACAATTTCTTTCACGATAGGAACCCACCAGAAAATTTTTTCCGGATCATTGTTATCAAAGTTTTTTGAGACTTCTTCAGACTGGTCACCTGCAATAATTACAAAGAATTTTAAATTTTATATATCTTCAATGAAATACTTTCATCTCGTAATTTCAGATATTTTTGAAATCTTCCAAACCATATGGGATAAAATAAAAAAATTTTTTTCCACCTCGTCCCCAAAACAAACAAAGTATCGTAAATGAATGAAATTGCTTTTAAATTCGGTTTTTATCCTATAAAATAAAATATTTCCCTTGCCTCTCTCTATTGCATGAACAATTTTTTTCACCATAGGAATCCACCAGAAAATTTTTTTCTGATCTTTGTTGTCCAAGGTTTTCGAGGATTTTTCAGATTGGTCACCTGCAATAATTACAAAGAATTTCAAACCCGATATAGCTTCAAATTCAAAACAATTTTATTTATTTGTTGTATGTTGTTGTTGATAAAATCTGGATTATATAAAATGAAAAGTGAAAATTTGTGATGCATTTACTAACAACTAAATCGGATGGAGATTGAGATACAATAATGTGGTTTACAGGGTTGTTGAGTTTTTTTCGACATTTGGGATTTTAAAAATATATATATCATATATCATTCTGGAATTGTTCGTCGGCATTTAAAATTTTTCGATTCGAATAAAAGTTTTAGTGAAAATACAGGTTCAAATGGCATACCGACCAAATTCCAGAAATAGTTACCAAATGTGTTGGCAAATGTTTGAGAAATGCTCACGTAATAAAGAAGATAAATTGAACTTACGAGACTCAAGAGACTTTGCCCTCATTTTTTATACGCAAAGCTGTATTTGAGTTAAGATTAGAAATGAATCAATAATAAACAATGGAATTAACGAAATTTAAAAATAATTTCGATAGTGGATAAATACTCCCGTCTATCTTGGCATTTTATTCCTGAATAAAATCTTCAACTTTTTCATGTTGCTAGAAAAAAGTTCTCAACAAGAATTAATTTAAAGTACATTGATAGAATAAACCTGCATTGTTTAGTTCATATAAAAATTGAAATGTATCAGATTGAATGAAAACAAAACGTGGCGATGAGGTAAAACTAACCTGGTTAATCCAAAACTGCAGATTATCATGGCCAGAACGAGTACTGCAATTTTTCCAGACATTTTTTCTTATTGTTCTTTTCTGTTGGAAGTTGACTGAATTTGAAACAAAATTCGACTGTATAGAAAGTTTGAAGCAAGCGCATTTTATACACTTTACCTTTTCGTCTGTAAACAGATGTTTTATTGAAATATAACACGCAATAAAAAGCTTACGTTGTTCCATAAGGTGAATTTTTTGGAATAAATTACAGATGATATCCGGATGAATAAATATTAACTACTTTTCTAATTATTAAGACTCGGATCCAGCTGTATCAGTTTTGCAATATTCTAATAAATTTGATTTGTAATGTAGAGGCTGATTAGCAGCTTAAATTGTTTTGGCCTAATGTTTTCGTTTCGTTAGGAATTGACCTTACTTTACGCTGACTTTAAAGAATATTCACGATTTGTGTAATTGTTGCAATTCTTGTATATTTAAAAAATGTAAGTCAAAAAATTAAAACAGAAATCAATTGTTTGATCAATGAAATATTAATTATAGTATCGATAAAATTTTAGTTGATTTCTTACTACACTTACTACAATTGAATACAATTCACGGAAGGATGCGACTTTTGAATCAAGGCGGAAATTAATATGGGTTGCCGTTTAGTTTATATTCAGAGAAATAATTGAAAATGGAAATTCAATATGGCGTTTCTAGATTCCCAAGAAAACTGTTTTATAATCATTCAATCAATGACCAATTTTGTGTTATATACATTTATTATATATATATATTGATTATATAATAAATAAACCTAAATAATACCAACCGTTTTTTGGATTGAGTTGCACATGAATGAATAAAGGTAAAAGTGAGAAATCGAGCAAATAACAGCTTAAGATAATAATTATACACCGAGTTTTGTTTTAGGAAGTAACATGGTAACCGGTATCGGTGTTAATCGTTTGCAATTTTTCTTTAATCAAAATGTTTCATGTTTTGAGTAGGGACGGGGCACCCGTAGTGTGTGTACCAGGTTAGGATTAGGCCATAATTTTATTACGATTTTCCTAATTTTAGTTCTATTACGAGTTCGGGGACTGTCTGGGTTAGCCAAGTTAGCCTCGGAATTTAATTGTTCATTTTAAGACGAAGTGGAACGATGTCAAAGTTTTCAATTTACACCCCTTAACATGAATGGCGATCCTTTTTACTGCCAACATTCGAAATTTTATGTTCGTCAATAAAAAGAAGAAGACTAGTGGATTATTTAAAAAATCATATTTGAAAACATGGATTCCAATGAATATGAAATGCCGAAAGGCTTTAACAATAACAAATCAGTTGCATTTTTTGCATATAAATATATATAACAAAAAAAAAATTGTGCATTCAATCGTTATAAAACAGTTTTCTTGGAACTTTAGAAACGACATATTGAACTTTCATTTTCGTTATTATTTCTGAGAATTAGACGACAACGCATAATAATTTCCGCCTCGATTCAACAGTCGCATCCTTCCGTAAATTGTATTCAATGCAGTAATAAGTGCAGTAAGAAGTAAACTAAAATTTCATTGATACTATAATTGATATTTCATTAATTAAAAAACTAGTTTCCTATTTAATTCCTTGATTTACGTTTTTTTTTAAATGTTCAAGAAAGGCAACAATCACACGAGAGCAATGAGAACATAAAATGAGAACAATTTCTAACGAAAAGAAAATATGAGACCAAAACAATTTGAGCTTCTAACCAGCCTCTACATTACAAATCAAATACTATAGAATATTGCGAAACTGATACAGGTGGATCCGATTCTTAATAATTAGAAAGGTAATTAATATTTATTTATCCGGATATTATCAGTAATTTATTCCAAAAAAATCACCTTATGGAACAACATAAGCTTTTATTGCGTGTTATATTTCAATAAAACATCTGTTTACAGACGGAAAGGTAAAGTGTATAAAATGCGCTTGCTTCAAACTTTCTATACAGTCGAATTTTGTTTCAAATTCAGTCAACTTCCAACAGAAAAGAACAAGAAGGAAAAATGTCTGGAAAAATTGCAGTATTTGTTTTGGCCATGATGATCTGCAGTTTTGGATTAACCAGCTTAGTTTTACCTCATTGCCGCGTTCTGTTCTGATTCATTCCATCTGATACATTTGAATTTTTATATGAACTAAACAACACAACGTAATTCTGTCAATGTACTTTGAATTATTTTTTGTTGAGAACTTTTTTCTGGCAACATGAAAAAGTTGAAGATTTCATTCAGGAATAAAATACCAAGATAGACGAGAGTATTTATCCAATTTCAAAATTATTTATCAATATCGTCAATTCCACTGTTTAATATTGATCCATGTTTGATCTTAACTCAAATAAAACTTTGCGTATAAAAAATGATGCATGTATTTTTCAATGATTCCAAACGAGCTCAATTTTAAAATGTTTTAACAATTTCCAGATTGATAAGTTACGGAAAGCTATAATATAGTCTACATTTATTTTTACAGGGCAAAGTCTCTTGAATCTCGTAAGTTCAATTTATCTAATTATTACGCGAGCATTTCTCAATCATTTGCCAACACATTTGGTAACTATTTCTGGAATTTGGTCGGTATAACATTTGAACCCGTATTTTCACTAAATCTTTATCGAAAATTTTAAAATGCCGACGAACAATTCCAGAATGATATATGATATATTTTTAAAATCCCAAATGTCGAAAAAAACTCAACAACCCTGTAAATCACATTATTGTATCTAAATCTCCATCCGATTCAGTTGTTGATAAATGCATCACAAATTTTCACGTATTGATTTTATATGATTTAAATTTTATCAAAAAAAAAAAGAAAATGAAAAATAAATAATCCTATTTTAAATTTGAAGCTATATCAAATTTGAAATTCTTTGTAATTATTGCAGGTAACCAATCTGGGAAATCCTCGAAAACCGTTGATAACAAAGATCATGAAAGATTTTGGTGGATTCCTTTAGTGGTAAAAATTGTTAACGCAGTAGAGAGAGGTAAAGCCAATAATTCGTTTTATTAAAAATCCGATATATTTTGTTTTATATAAATTGCAATTTTCAGAAATTTGAAAATACGAGATGAAAGTATTGAATTGAAGCCATATAAAATTTAAAATTTTCTGTAATTATTGCAGGTGATCAATCTGATGAAGCGTCAAAAACATTTGACAACAAAGATCAGGAAAGATTCTGGTGGATTCCTATAGTGGAGGAAATTGTTCGAGCAGTAAAGAGAGGTGAGACGAATGTTTTGTTTTATAGGATAAAAACTGAATTCAAAAGCAATCTCATTCATGTACGATATTTTGTTGGTTTCAATTGCGGGATGAATAGAAAAACACACTAAATTTTTACATTTTATCTCATATGGTGGGAATATTTCAAAAAATCTGAAAATACGAGATGAAAGTATTTAATTGAAGCTATAGAAAATTTAAAATTCTCCGTAAATATTGCAGGTGACCAATCTGATGAAGTTTTAAAAACATTTGACAACAAAGATCAGGAAAGATTCTGGTGGATTCCTATAGTGGAGGAAATTGTTCGAGCAGTAAAGAGAGGTGAGGCGGATATGTTGTCTAATAAATGAAAGCAGAAGTTGAATCAAAGCATTACCTATATTCTATATTATTCATAAGTTACATGTGTAACCTATCTGAAAAAAAAATATTGGATTAAATGATAAGGACACAACCGACACTGTGTTAAGAAACGTTGCTGGTACAATTGTAAGAGCAGTTAAACTGATCAATTCATCATCATAATTCAATCTAATATATTTCACAGAAAACAAAGTACATACTTCAGTAAAATTAAACATTATTATTAACATTAAAATTATTTTGATCTATTGATGACTGATATATTACTTTTAAAGTTGATGAAATACTAGAATGATATTGTTCAATCGGAAGATTTGAAATTTTAATTATATTTGTCTGGATGTAATTGTTACTTAATATACCCATCCCAAATTATCAATACCGTTATCTAAATAACCTAGTTCAAAGTAATTTAATATTTGATATTTTTGATTTTAATAATTTAATTTTTTTTGAGAAAATTTCAAAAATACCGTAAATATAGTAAAGACAAACAAAGCGGATGTTTTATTCTGTAATTCTTCACTCGCCTTGTTGTCTTTATTTCTGTATTGGAATATTTTGTATCTTTGTTACAATCTTCTCAAAAAATATTATTCAGCGCATAAGTATTATTTGACTTCATTAGTTTTTCTTCGGCAGGTTAAGTCTTATCGAGCAAATTTGAAAATACAGATGACGATTCAATGATGACCCGTGTCTACTTCCGATTTTGATTTACATATTTTTTCGTGTGAAATCTAACCTAATTATTCAGAATAAATTACATCAAAGCATGTACGTTTGTAAAATTTTGGTCGATGGATTCCAAGAAAGATATTAGGACATAAACATACGATAAACCGCTTACTATACGAACAATTCTGTGAACTGTTTGTACAGACTGAAGTAAATGATAAAACTTAATGATGTTGCTGTATATATTTCAACACTATGTCAGTGATCTATCTGCGAGTCTTTAACGTTTTTGGTTTGGCTCATTGCGTATTTGCAACATCTGCTACATTTTCGCATCATATATTGGTGGGCTCATTGTGAAAAACTGCAAATTTTATGATCCGAAAACATTACACTAATAGCTTGCTTGGTTACCAATATTATTTATCCGCCTAGCAAGCAACTCTATAAACGAGCAGCTGATCAAATATTAAGAACCAACTATCTGTATTTAAAAAAACGAGTATTTTTCCTTTGAAATATCCTGCATCATTCACTAAACCTCGTGAAGCTGACATAGAAATACTGGAAGGATATTTGCCAGCAGTGCATTTCGCATCGTTGCTTCGCCACGTAAACACACTGAAACTATTTCTTATCGTTTGCTATATACATTTTGATCCGTATATTAGCTCACTACTCGTAGAAAACGATGTTTCAATTCCAGACGTAATATAGATAGACAATTATGGTCAATCGAATCCTGCTATCCATCAGGAAACTTAAAATATCAATGACGGAATGCGTAGTTTCGAACAAGCAAATCGGAGTAGGATAGTACCCAATGCCTAAAAGATTATCATTAATAATATTCTAAAATCGTCGATGTTGCACAATTTATTGCTTTCCGTTCTCATATTCGTGTGAATATTTAATATTAGTCGTGGTGCAAAATTGGTGTGGCAATGAAAATTATTGCTTAATATGGCTTGATATATTTGTGTAGTCATAGTCAAGTTTATTTTTCCCAAACAGTCATACAAATAAACAGATATAAATGCAAAATTTATGCCAAAAGGCAAAGAACATAATTTGATTGATGAAGGGAAGCGGCGGGGAACCAAAGTTAGGCTGTTGATTCGAAATTCAGTAATGAATATCACACAGTTTGCAATAATGATAGATTCATCTTGATGACGACGACTCGTTTTCCCATTGTCGCCGTTTTCAGCATTTACCAATACTCCGCCATATATCAAATGTATATAAGTGATTCAAGAGAACCGCTGCACAAGGTCAAAAACGTTTCTGAGATATAATTGCAGTATGCAGCAAGTCTCTTGAATATCCTAGGATATTTATCTTCACTTTTGCTACAGCATCCTTGCATTATATGCACTACCATTGATTACAATTCACCGGAGCATGCTACAGTTGAATCAAGGCGGAAATTATCATGGGTTGCGGTCAAATTTATACTCAGAAATATTGACGAAAATGAAAGTTCAATATGGCGTTTCTAAATTTCCAAGAAAACTGTGATATAATGTTTCAATTAATGCATATGTTTGTATTATATACGTTTATGTGCGAAAATACTACCGAGTTGTTATTGTTAAAGCCTTTCATAGTCATTAGAATGTTTTTAAATATGACTTTTCAAATATCCACCAGTATTCTTTTTTTTAATGATGAACATAAAATGTCTAACGTTGGCAGTAGAACGGATCGCCATCCCTAATATGGAGTTTAAATTATAAATTTTGACATCGTTCCACTTCGTTTCAAAATGAAATTCTGGCCCAGAAACAGCAAAGTATTCCCGAATAATATCTTACAACATGTTTACACCAAAACAACTCATAGTGTTTCTAAAGGAATGTCTTCAAATATTTGATGTATCAAAATGAGACTATCTGTGAACAAATTAGTAATAGCTAACATTGTCATTAAATTCAGATATTGCGTTATGTCGAAAGAAGTAAAAAAAATCGATATTTCGCTTCTGCATAATTTCACTAAACATCCTCTTCCATTTTCACAATGAAAACGTTAGGATTAATATAAAATTGCAAAAGATCATCATCGATATTGGTGACGCTGTTATTTATTTAGGTAAATCCCGGTGTATAACTTATATGTTAAGCTGTTTTCAGCTCGATAGATGTTTTACTGTAAAACAGGTAGCAAAATATTTTCTAAAAATTTCATTCAGGCATATTCTGTTATTTATGAGAGTCAGAGTTACATTGTTTATTTTGAAACGAATTGAAATGTTGTCAATTTCTCATTTTATATCGGAAATGACAAACCTTGCTACTAAAAACGTCACCTATTTTATGTTCATCAGGAAAAAGAAGAATGTTGATGGATTTAATGTAAATCTAATGTGAAAATATGAATTCTCATGAATATGTAGGACCAAGAAGGGTTTTCAACAGCTCATTCGTATTTTTATGACTTAAACTTGATGACAGAACTATTGCCAGCAGCCGATGCGTAATAATATACCGAAATAGTAAATCAATTATTGTGTGATTGCATTATGAATGATTTTTTCTGTTTTAGATCTTGACTTAACAGAGCATTTTAAAAACCGCGGATCAGTGGTTTGTTTTCCTGTCCTATATGATGTCTTCTTATATGAGATAGGAACAATCAAAATAGGTCGGGACGGTCGGGATTTAAATCAGACTACCTGCGGTAGTACAGAGCTCGAACATATTTTAATTGAAAAAATATTATTTGTGTGATTATGAATTAGGAAGAAACTATTTGAGTAATCTCAACTAATATATAAAATTTAGATAAAATCACAATTATTTTTATACAAATATATCCGGAAGTTCTGTGTTATAAGGATCTAAGCCCGCTCTGAATTTATCATCATTACGGCACGTCAAGATAACACCATCACATCAGCAGGTAGTTGATGTCGCTGGGTCGATTCCTTGATTGGTTGTAAACAACGTCAACTCGGAAATCTTTTCACCAGATAAAGATGGCGTCCGGGTAAAACATTGCAGCGGAAGTTTCGGATCTGCAAATACAGTAAGAGAATTGTTATAAACGATATATATTTATGATTTTTGTGCTTTGAATTACAAGCGGAAATACAAATACCAGCAGTTTATGTACAAGAGTGAGTTCTTGTCAGAGTGCCGCCGATCGGGATCTATTCGACGAAAAACCGAATCTAAAGAGATTGAATGAAATTGCTAACAAAGATTTTCGTAAATAAAAATGTTAAAACAATCGCGGGACAAAAAAACTATCGGTGTATATGGATAAGATAACGAATAAAACAATTAAGACAATCGGTGTTACGTTGTAAACCCATATGATCCTAGGTCTTTGAGTTTCAACTTTTGAGTGTCTACATTTTCTTTTCTTGTCGTGCTGCTCTGCTGTCACTGTTTACAATACAGTTCGCATTTAAATGGTTCATTTGCAGTTTTTGAATATATTTTGTAAGCGAATATTGGAGATTATAGTGCCATGGTGTTATCGTACACATAAAGGAGGCGAAGAACAAGCGAATAAATGTATTTAGTGCATGTTTTATGATTTTCTTACCATCGCTTGTAGACGACAGCACACAGAGATAAGTCTGTATAACAGCGATGTCGATGAGAAATAAACCATGGATCATCTGCGAACAAACAAAAGCTCGAATATGTTAAAGAAAACTAGACTTCTTCCAAGAACAATATTATTGAAATCAAAATCTTAGACTTGAGAGGATTTAGTAATGATGCCTGACTCTCTTTGTTTGCTGAACAATTTGATGTTCTTCCATTGACCATCTAGGAAAAAGATTTTTTGAAGTTTTGCTGAAATTGATGGTATTGATGGCGTGAACAAATCGTAATTTTTCTCTTTAATGAGAGCGCAATGGTTTTCAACATCCCGAAATAAAACGATAATTAATTGGGATATTTTGGTCTCGTAGCAATCTCATTAAACTTGTAAAACTCACATGTTTGTGAATTTATCCAATAATAACCCAAAGAATCCCGCTTCACATCATCGATGATTGAAAACATGAGCATCTAATTTGTTCCTTTTAGAAATACGAACTGTTAGCATTCAGTTACATTTTGTATTAACACTAATAATAGTTACTTCGCAAAACAGCTCACTTTGTACGAAATTCGTATGAGAACACATTAACATCGTACTCTGCTGTATTGAAAGGTACAACAAGGTGACATCCCCATAAAACATTCCAATCCCAGTAATTTACACCAAGTGTGAGATACCATACTCTTCTAAAAGTTACGCCTGGGTTATTCTTGTTTGTTGTTGATGTTATAAAAAACGGAATTTGATTACAATTGTAGTTCATCGTTGACATAAAATACCAGCTTACACGTTTCAAGTCGATGTTTTTTCCTGAATATATATTTCAACTCCGCGCGATTGTTAAAAGCACAAGAATCACGAAAACAGAACCAAATCTACACTTCATCGTTTTAACAGCCTCAAATCTTGAGTGAGGAATAGTCTTAAGGAACAATAAGCTATATTGTGTATATGCTGTCGGGAATCGATAGTTAAGTCGAAAATCATTAGAGGGGAACTGCATAATTCATGTCTCAATGCTGTTTACTCTTTTTGCTGCGCATGTAGATTGGCTCGGCGGTGTGGCGCATTGTGCTAAGCGTGAAAATACGCTTGACACATTACCTGATTACCCTCAATGATTTCGTTGGTTGGAATCCCGTGGAAGATAATTATGTGCGAGAGGATTGCTAGACTCTTGGCCGCCGTTGTAGGATGGTTCACGCAATCGCTAGAAAATTACGGCTTTACTCGACCACCAAGCCCATCCATGCACAGAAAACAAAAAAAACTGGCCCACTGATCCCATACCGGCGACATGGACTGGTAACCGGACGATAGATTTGCCGTATTATTAAGTCGTCTTATCGTCTTTCCTCTCCCCCGAGATAATTATGCAAATTGTAAATCCTATTCACGCATGCTTAACCTGAAGCGCAATGCTCGTGTCGAACCACCCCATCACGTGTTGGAGTTGTGACCTGCTAGATTCCCGTGTAGCGAGATTTTCACTTTTAATAAGACAAGAGCGCTGTGCTCAAATATATGGACACGTTAACCAGAGCGAAGCAGTATTTACCTTTGACGCCACCGGTACCCACAAAAAATTCCGAATTTCGCGTAGAAATAATTTACAGATCAAACCGGACAGCCAGTGTTCCCATGGATAAAATAATACAGCGAAATTTTAGACGAAATATCATATTTTATGCAAAATTTAGAAATAAATAAAAGTAATAGCCTTCTGGCAAAAAAATCAATCTTTACTCACTGAAAATTTCAAGGCAATTGGTCCAGTATTCGGAGAGAAAAGCGATTTGTTTAAAAATGATGGAGACAAATAATAACAATAACAACATAATATTGAACGATCGTTATGTCCACTAAACGTGTCCAATAATCTCGAAGTCGAATGCTGGCGGCGCGTCGTTTGTCAAAGGCGGTGATCGATTCTTTAGTAAGGTATTCAGTTGGTTATGGCCTCTATATCGCAAAAACTTGAGACAAGGAGAGGTAAAACTCACTGCAGGATGGCTGTTTGCAGGTATTGCGACAAAAACATTGTTTAACTAGTAGATCGCGTGGCGAAAGTTAAGTTCCTTTGCATTCTTATTTTTCAGTATAATTGATGCTGAAATTTGATTTCCCTAGAAGACTAGTTATAAAGTATATTATATTGCAACAATATAAAAGCTTGCGTAACAAGATATGTTTTTAAACAAATGCTTTACACATTTTGCTGTTGTTTTATATTCTTTTGTATTTAAAATATTAAAAATAATAACTAGATCAATAACTAGCGTGTTGTGCATGCACTCTCAAGCTGTGGCTGTGGAGGAAGCCGAAAAACGGCAAGCCTTTATGTGAACCACCTTGCAAAGACGAGGGGTTCAGCAATTTGCTCGTTCAGTGCCCCGTCACTCTTGAGATTCGAAGGTACGTTACGTAGGTACAATACTTGAAATATATATGTCTCAGGAATAAGCCCGAATAACCCAGATGCGCCGAACAGAAAATTATTTTGAAGCATTCGAAACGATACCATGTGACGTCGTGCCTAATAACCATTAATTACCACTGCCCATTACCTAATACACCGTTTAGTATTGGTCAAAACGGATCACTGGATAGCTATTATCACAACGTCGTTTCTTGTCCGAAAATCAAATACCGTATTTGTCCAAAATATTCTTTTGACACCAAACTTTAAACATGATCTACATGAATATATATTGTGAGACCGACATGACATGTGGGTATTCACATCAATTAACTAGAGCAAAGTTTAGTAAAGATGACGCAGATGTCAGTGGGTGATTTAAAACATAAAATACATGTTTATTGAAGATTCTATGTTCTGATCCGAACTCATGAATGACTTTCGAAGCTATATTGAAGCAGGGAAAAACTTATCAACACGTCACAAGAGATCCGAATCGGGTTTTTATTAAAGCGTTTACAAACCTTTCAACATAAAATTAGTAGAGAAATATTCAAATTTAGTCTTGTAAGCCGTAGTGATGGTAGTCAATGCGAGTTATACTGAAATTCATTATCCAAGAGCATTATCCATTTCTCGAGGCAGGCAGCATTGCAAGTGTATTCTGTGTAGAGTAGCTAAAATTTAATGAATTATCAAGAATAAATGTCATGCTCCTGCTGTCATACTGCAGGAAGAACTAAGATACCAGCAGGAGTATTCATCCATTGAATAGGATTTACATATTTATTTAGAGGACGAGGGAAGACAATAATACCACTTATTCATATGGCCAATCACAGTCTATCCTCCGGTTACCAGTACATGTCGCGGGAATGGGATCGGTAAGCCAATTATTTTGTTTTCTGTGCATGGATGGGCTTGATGGTGGAGGACTGTAATCTACCAGCGTTTGCGTGAACCATCCAACGGCGGCGGCCAGGAATCTGGCATTCCTCCCGCACAAATTTATTTCTCCCGGTATTCGAACCTATGAACCCACGCAGAGTTTTCAGATGCTGAGACAAGCGATTTCCACGCTTAGCACGATGCGCCACACCACCGAGCTAATCCAGAGTATGCACAGGAAACAGGAAACAGCATTGCGACACGAATTATGCACTTAGCCTCTATTGATTTTTCCATTGCAGACATTATATACACAATATAGCTTATTGTTCCTTAAGCCTATCCCTCACTCAAGATTTGAGGCTGTTAAAACGATGAAGTGTAGATTTGGTTCTGTTTTCGTGATTCTTGTGCTTTTAACAATCGCGCGGAGTCGAAAAATATATTCAGGAAAAGAAATCGACTTGAAACGTGTAAGCTGTTATTTTATGTTGTCGTATTAACTACAATTGTAATCAAGTTCTGTTTGTTTTTGTAACATCAATAACAAGTAAGAATAACCCAGACTCAATTTCGAATGTTACCTCGACAATTAAAACAACACAATTAAACGCACTATGGCTTGAAATTCTGACACTCAAAGCTATTTGTACTAAAATCTCTTACCTTTAGTTATGCGGAGTATGGTATCTCACACTTGGTGTAAATACCTGGGACTGGAATGTTTTGTGGGGATGTCACCTCATGGTACCTTTCAATACAACAGAGAACGATATGAATGTTTACTCATACAAATATCCCAAGTAAGCTTATTTGCGAAGGATTTATTTATCTAAAAATTGTGCTTTAATAGAGTGTAAAAAGTAACTGAATGCTAACAGTTCGTATTTCTAAAAGGAACAAATTAGATGCTCATGTTTCAATCATCGATGATGTGAGGCGGGACTCTTTGGGTTATTATTGGATATATTCACAAACGGGTGAGTCTCGCCGCAATTTTAATGAGATGGTTATGATGTCATCACACAAGAACAAAATATCCCAGTTAATTATCGTTTTATTTCGAAGTGTTGCAAACCATTGCGCCCCCATTAACAAGAAAGATTATGAATTTTTCAATCCACAATACCATAAATTTCATCAATACTTTTTTAAAAAATTATTTTTAGATGGTCAATCACAAAGAAGATCAGGCATCAATATTGAATCCTCTCAAGTCCAAGGTTCTGGTTTTCATAACGTTGTTATTAGAAGACGTCTAATTTTCTTTAACATATTCGAGCTTTTATTTGTTCGCAGATAAACAATGGTATCATTCTCATCGACATCGCTTCTATACAAACTACGAGACCTATCTCTGTGTGCTGTCGTCTGCAAGCGATGGTAAGAAAATCGTAAAACATTGAAATAAAATTTATTCACTACAATAAATATGTGTACGATCGCATATCAGTAGCTTCTTGTCCGGAAAGAAGTTCATCCACTGCACAATTACATCCAATATCCGCCTATACAATGTATAAAACTCGAAACTCCAAATGAACAGAATCAACGTGAAAATTTAGCGAATGATATGATAATATTTTAGCTGAAGCTGTCCAATTAGACTTTACGCTTTTAAATATCTCGAATATACGCGCCGCCGGGGCCCACAAGAAAGAAATATCTTACAATTATCTTATACTTATTAAGTTATTATTCTTATAGGCCGAATACTTTTTTCGTCCCACGATTACATTCCCTTTCTCATTTGCAAAAATTTTTGTGAACAGTTTTAGTCAATCACTGCAGATAGAATTTCTTCGATTGGTTTCCGAACGGGCGTACCCTGTCAGGATAATTAGTTTGACTTTGCCCTAACCCACAAACCGCTAGTATTAATATTTCCGTATGTAATTTAGAGAACGGAAATTATGAATGAATGCCGTTTACAATAGTTATCTTACTGTGTTTGCAGGTCAGAAAATTTTGCAATGTTTCACCCGGACTCCATCGTTATCTGGCGAGGAGATTTCCAAGTTGACGTCGTTTGCAACTGAACAAGGAATCGACGCAGCGACGTTAACTACCTTCGGATGTGGAGATCTGGTTCCGTCAGACTATTTGTTGGGTTAACAATATTATTAGCATTTTTGTGCAATGTCGTTTTAGTTGTAATTATTCAGAAGTGGTCTTAAATCTTTATAAAACAAAAACACCGATTATACAAGTATAAAATTTGTTGTGATTTATCAAAAATTTGATTCTTGACATATTAGGTGGGAACATTCAAACCGTTTCTTCTTAATGCATAATCACACAAAAAATATTTTTCTTGAAATTGATTTCATCATTGTTTGAAATAAAAGATCTTCAAGATCTATACTATCGCAATCAGTTATTGGAGACGTCTTGGTTCAAATTTGTAAAAGCTTCCGGCTTGCCACAATGGAGATAGTTTTGCAATTGACTGTAGAATCATATTTATTTCGCACAAAATATGACGAAGTCGTCATATTCAGCTTATGATGAGTTATGATGATATGAACAGAACAATATTAACAGATAGATATATAGTTGCTTTTCTTCTCGAGACATAACATAATGGGCGATTAATGATGTCGTAATCTTGTGATGTGACCTTGTATCATTTAGGCAATTATATCTATAATAAATTTATGCGATAGGAATGCAATATTGTGTAACTTATACTTAACTTCATTTGGGTATCCCAACTACATATCGCAATGTGCTACGTTTTGTTTAGATATTTATAACCGAACACAACAAAACTGGTCACAGCGGCAAACAACAAACTCTCTTGTGCAGTATTAATGATAATCTTTTATGCATTGGGTACTATCCTACTCCAATTTGTCGTCGTTAAAAATAGCGCGACTACAGCTTGCAAGGTTATTAAACAACGCGTCATGCTCATAAGAAGGTTCCCGATAAAGACAGTGGAGACCTGGGGAAGAAAAGCAAAAACCAGGTTAAAAAAGAAAATATAATCGAGTGGAAGAAGCAAGTCGACGCGTTAAAAAGGACAAGAAACGCGAGAGAAGCTGTGAGATAATGCTGAGCAATGGAGTTCATAACCAGGACGGGTAGGAATCCAGGACTTAGAGTGAGAATGAGTAGCAGGTACGTCACTAAGTGTAAGTGATAATACAAAACGAAATTGACAGTAGTCAGAATGTGCACCTGGTGGGCGATGAGTATAATATCAAAGAAATAAAAAACATCACGGGCATATTGTCAGGCCGGACAACGAGGTTGCCTGATGCCTCTCTAAGCGCGGGTGTCTAAACTGATAAAACTGAAAATTCCGCTTGTGTGAAATCTTCAGTGCGGACAGACTTCAGTGCAGCAAGAAATTACATTCAACGCCAATGTGATTTGATAAACAGGTTTAAATAATCCAAAAGCAAATATGTGAACTGCACTGAGACTGTTTACAATTGTCTATTTTTAATACATTTGAATTGAAACATCGCTTTCTACCAGTAATGAGCTAATATACGGATCAAAATGTATATAGCAAACAATGAGAATAGTTTCAGTGTGTTTGCGTGGCGAAACAATGGTACGAAATGCACTTATGGCAAATATACTTCAAGGGTTGCAACAAAAAAGATATTTCTATGTCAGATTCACGAGATTTAGTGAATGATGCAGGATATTCCAAAGGAAAAATACTCGTTTTTTTTAAAAACAGATGGTTGATTCCTAATAATCGATCAGCTGCTCGTTTATAGAGTCTCTTGCTAGGCGAATAGATAATATTGGTAACTAAGCAAGTCATCAATGTAAGTTACGTCGTTACAAAACTATTTTAATGTCTCCTTCTCCTTGATTTCAAAATGATGCGTCGATTTGACGCTGATATCATTTTGTTTTCAGATCATAAAATTTTCAGTTTTTCCCAATAAACCAACCAACCAATAATTGATGCGAAAATTTATGAGGTAGCAGATGCTGCGAATGCACAATGAGCAAACCCAGATACGTTAATGACTGGAAGATCGATCACTGATTTGGTGTTTTATCATATACAGGTACATCATAAAGTTATATAATTTCACAAACGGTCATGCTTTGATGTAATTTATTCTGAATAATTAGGTTAAATTTCACACGAGAAAATATGTAAATCAAAATCGGAAGTAGACACGGGTCATCATCGAATCGTCATCTGTATTTTCGAATTTGCTGGATAAGACTTAACCTGCAAATGAGAAAACTATTGAATTCAAATGATACATCTGCGTTTAATATCATCTATATTGACGATTGTACAAAAAATATTAAATATTTAGTAAGAAAATAAAGACGAGACAAATACAGAATGAAACAACCGCTTTGTTTGTCTTTACTATGATTAAGTTTCAACTGTTATAATTGAATTTCACGGGATCAAAAATCAAGTTACTTCAGACTGGGTAATTCGGATACCGTATTTGTAGTTTATGATAAGTATAATCAGTAACAATTACATCCAGACAAATATAATTGAAATTTCAAACTTTTCAAATGAACAATTTAATTTTAGTATTTTATCAACTTCAAAAGTCATTTGTCATTCATGTGCTTCACATTGAATCAAAAAATGTTCAGATAGGTTACTCATGTAATTTATGAATAATATGATATTGTTTTGTTTCAACTTCTGCTTTCATTTGGGAAAATATTTTCTTTACCTCTCTTTACTGCTTGAACAATTTCTTCTACTAAAGGAATCCACCACACGAACTTTTCCTGATCTTTGTTGTCAAATGTTTTCGAAGCATCTTCAGATTGGTCACCTGCAATAATAACAGATAATTTGATATAGCTTCAATTGAATATTTTCATCTCGGTTTTTCAAACTTTTGAAAATTTGGAACCAAATGGAACAAAATATAAAAATTTAGTGTTTTGAACTTATCCCTGATTTAAACAAACAATTTTAGTTAAAATTTGTTTTTTTATCAACAAAACAAATGTTTTCCTTACCTCTCTTTACTGCTTGAACAATTTCTTCCACTAAAGGAATCCACCAAACGAATTTTTCCTGATCTTTGTTGTCAAATGTTTTTGAAGCATCTTCAGATTGGTCACCTGCAATAATAACAGATAATTTGATATAGCTTCAATTGAATATTTTCATCTCGGTTTTTCAAACTTTTGAAAATTTGGAACCAAATGGAACAAAATATAAAAATTTAGTGTTTTGAACTTATCCCTGATTTAAACAAACAATTTTAGGTAAAATTTGTTTTTTTTATCAATAAAACAAATGTTTTCCTTACCTCTCTTTACTGCTTGAACAATTTCTTTCACGATAGGAACCCACCAGAAAATTTTTTCCTGATCTTTGTTGTCAAATGTTTTTGAAGCATCTTCAGATTGGTCACCTGCAATAATTACAGATAATTTGATATAGCTTCAATTGAATATTTTCATCTCGTTTTTTCAAACTTTTGAAAATTTGGAACCAAATGTAACAAAATATAAAAATTTAGTGTTTTGAACTTATCCCTGATTTAAACAAACAATTTTAGTTAAAATTTGTTTTTTTTATCAATAAAACAAATGTTTTCCTTACCTCTCTTTACTGCTTGAACAATTTCTTTCACGATAGGAACCCACCAGAAAATTTTTTCCTGATCTTTGTTGTCAAATGTTTTTGAAGCATCTTCAGATTGGTCACCTGCAATAATTACAGATAATTTGATATAGCTTCAATTGAATATTTTCATCTCGTTTTTTCAAACTTTTGAAAATTTGGAACCAAATGGAACAAAATATAAAAATTTAGTGTTCTGAACTTATCCCTGATTTAAACAAACAATTTTAGTTAAAATTTGGTTTTTCATCAATAAAACAAATGTTTTCCTTACCTCTCTTTACTGCTTGAACAATTTCTTTCACGATAGGAACCCACCAGAAAATTTTTTCCTGATCATTGTTATCAAAGTTTTTTGAGACTTCTTCAGATTGGTCACCTGCAATAATTACAAAGAATTTTAAATTTTATATATCTTCAATGAAATACTTTCATCTCGTATTTTCAGATATTTTTGAAATATTCCGAACCATATGGGATAAAATATAAAAATTCAGTGTGTTTTCCAACTCGTCCCCCAAACAAACAAAATATCGTAAATGAATGAAATTGCTTTTAAATTCGGTTTTTATCCTATAAAATAAAATAATTGATTAAAACTGAATTATATAAAATAAAACGTGAAAATTTGTGGTGCACTAACAACTGAATCGGATGAAGTTTGAGATACAATAATGTGATTTACAGGGTTGTTGAGTTTTTTCGGCATTTTGGATTTTGAAAATATATCTTATATCATTCTGGAATTGTTCGTCTGCATTTAAAATTTTTCGATTCGAATAAAAGTTTTAGTGAAAATACAGGTTCAAATGGCATACCGACCAAATTCCAGAAATAGTTACCAAATGTGTTGGCGAATGTTTGAGAAATGCTCACGTAATAAAGAAGATAAATTGAACCCACGAGACTCAAGAGACTTTGCCCTGTGAAAATAAATGTAGACTTTATTTTAGCTTTCCGTAACTTATCAATCTGGAAATTGTTTGAACATTTTATAATTGAGCTCGTTTGGAATCACTGAGAAAGACATGCATCAATTTTATACGCAAAGCTGTATTTGAGTTTAGATTAGAAATGAATCAATAATAAACAATGGAATTAACGAAATTTAAAAATAATTTCGATAGTGGATAAATACTCCCGTCTATCTTGGCATTTTATTCCTGAATAAAATCTTCAACTTTTTCATGTTGCCAGAAAAAAGTTCCTCAACAAAAATTAATTTTAAGTACATTGATAGAATTAACCTGTATTGTTTAATTCATATAAAAATTGAAATGTATCAGATTGAATGAATCAGAACAGAACGCAGCGATGAGGTAAAACTAACCTGGTTAATCCAAAACTGCAGATCATCATGGCCAAAACAAATACTGCAATTTTTCCAGACATTTTTCCTTCTTGTTCTTTTCTGTTGGAAGTTGACTGAATTTGAAATAAAATTCGACTGTATAGAAAGTTTGAAGCAAGCGCATTTTATACACTTTACCTTTCCGTCTGTAAACAGATGTTTTATTGAAATATAACACGCAATAAAAAGCTTATGTTGTTCCATAAGGTGAATTTTTTGGAATAGATTACTGATGATATCCGGATGAATAAATATTAATTACTTTTCTAATTATTAAGACTCGGATCCAGCTGTATCAGTTTCGCAATATTCTAATGAATTTGATTTGTAATGTTGAGGCAGATTAGCAGCTTAAATTGTTTTGGCCTAATGTTTTCGTTTTGTTAGGAATTGACCTTACTTTACGCTGACTCTAAAGAATATTCACGATTTGTGTAATTGTTGCAATTCTTGTATATTTAAAAAACGTAAGTCAAAAAATTAAAACAGAAATCAATTGTTTGATCAATGAAATATTAATTATAGTATCGATAAAATTTTAGTTGATTTCTGACTACACTTACTACAATTGAATATAATTCACGGAAGGATGCGACTTTTGAATCAAGGCGGAAATTAATATGGGTTGCCGTTTAGTTTATATTCAAAGAAATAATTGAAAATGGAAATTCAATATGGCGTTTCTAGATTTCCAAGAAAACTGTTTTATAATCATTCAATCAATGACCAATTTTGTGTTATATACATTTATTATATATATATACATTGACTATATAATAAATAAACCTAGATTATACCAACCGTTTTTTGGATTGAGTTGCAGATGAATGAATGAAGGTAAAAGTGAGAAATCGAGCAAATAACAGCTTAAGATAATAATTATTCACCGAGTTTTATTTTAGGAAGTAACATGGTAACCGGTATCGGCGTTAATCGTTTGCAATTTTTCTTTAATCAAAATGTTTCATGTTTTGGGTAGGGACGGGGCACCCGTAGTGTGTGTACCAGGTTAGGATTAGGCCATAATTTCATTACGATTTTCCTAATTTTAGTTCTATTACGAGTTCGGGGACTGTCTGGGTTAGCCAAGTTAGCCTCGGAATTTAATTGTTCATTTTAAGACGAAGTGGAACGATGTCAAAGTTTTTAATTTACACCCCTTAACATGAATGGCGATCCTTTTTACTGCCAACATTCGAAATTTTATGTTCGTCAATAAAAAGAAGAAGACTAGTGGATTATTTGAAAACATGGATTCCAATGAATATGAAAGGCCGAAAGGCTTTAACAATAACAAATCAGTTGTATTTTTTGCATATAAATATATATAACAAAAAAAAAATTGTGCATTCAATCGTTATAAAACAGTTTGCTTAGAACTTTAGAAACGCCATATTGAACTTTCATTCTCGTTATTATTTCTGAGTATTAGACGACAACGCATAATAATTTCCGCCTCGATTCAACAGTCGCATCCTTCCGTAAATTGTATTCAATGCAGTAAGAAGTGCAGTAAGAGTTAAACTGAAATTTCATTGATACTATAATTGATATTTCATTAATTAAAAAACTAGTTTCCTATTCAATTCCTTGATTTACGTTTTTTTTTCAAATGTTCAAGAAAGGCAACAATCACACAAGAGCAATGAGAACATAAAATGAGAACAATTTCTAACGAAAAGAAAATATGAGACCAAAACAATTTGAGCTTTTAACCAGCCTCTACATTACAAATCAAATACTATAGAATATTGCGAAACTGATACAGATGGATCCGATTCTTAATAATTAGAAAAGTAATTAATATTTATTTATCCGGATATTATCAGTAATTTATTCCAAAAAAATCACCTTATGGAACAACATAAGTTTTTTATTGCGTGTTATATTTCAATAAAACATCTGTTTACAGACGGAAAGGTAAAGTGTATAAAATGCGCTTGCTTCAAACTTTCTATACAGTCGAATTTTGTTTCAAATTCAGTCAACTTCCAACAGAAAAGAACAAGAAGGAAAAATGTCTGGAAAAATTGCGGTATTTGTTTTGGCCATGATGATCTGCAGTTTTGGATTAACCAGGTTAGTTTTACCTCATCGCCGTGTTTCATCTGATACATTTGAATTTTTATATGAACTAAACAACACAACGTAATTCTATCAATGTACTTTAAATTAATTTTTGTTGAGAACTTTTTTCTGGCAACATGAAAAAGTTGAAGATTTCATTCAGGAATAAAATACCAAGATAGACGAGAGTATTTATCCAATTTCGAAATTATTTATCAATATCGTCAATTCCACTGTTTAATATTGATCCATGTTTGATCTTAACTCAAATATAACTTTGCGTATAAAAAATGATGCATGTATTTTTCAATGATTCCAAACGAGCTCAATTTTAAAATGTTTTAACAATTTCCAGATTGATAAGTTACGGAAAGCTATAATATAGTCTACATTTATTTTCACAGGGCAAAGTCTCTTGAATCTCGTAAGTTCGATTTATCTAATTATTACGTGAGCATTTCTCAAACATTCGCCAACACATTTGGTAACTATTTCTGGAATTTGGTCGGTATAACATTTGAACCTGTATTTTCACTAAATCTTTATCGAAAATTTTTAAATGCTGACGAGCAATTCCAAAATGATATATGATATATTTTTAAAATCCCAAATGTCGAAAAAAACTCAACAACCCTGTAAATCACATTATTGTATCTAAATCTCCATCCGATTCAGTTGTTGATAAATGCATCACAAATTTTCACGTATTGATTTTATATGATTTAAATTTTATCAAAAAAAAAAAACTAAAATGATAAATAAATAATCTTATTTTAAATTTGAAGCTATATCAAATTTGAAATTCTTTGTAATTATTGCAGGTAACCAATCTGGGAAATCCTCGAAAACCGTTGATAACAAAGTTCATGAAAGATTTTGGTGGATTCCTTTAGTGGTAAAAATTGTTAACACAGTAGAGAGAGGTAAAGCCAATAATTCGTTTTATTAAAAATCCGATATATTTTGTTTTATATAATTCGAAATTTTCAGAAATTTGAAAATACGAGATGAAAGTATTGAATTGAAGCCATATAAAATTTAAAATTTTCTGTAATTATTGCAGGTGATCAATCTGATGAAGCGTCAAAAACATTTGACAACAAAGATCCGGAAAGATTCTGGTGGATTCCTATGGTGGAAGAAATTGTCCGAGCAGTACAGAGAGGTGAGACGAATGTTTTGTTTTATAGGATAAAAACTGAATTCAAAAGCAATCTCATTCATGTACGATATTTTGTTGGTTTCAATTGCGGGATGAATAGAAAAACACACTAAATTTTTATATTTTATCTTATATGGTGGGAATATTTCAAAAAATCTGAAAATACGAGATGAAAGTATTTAATTGAAGCTATAGAAAATTTAAAATTCTCCGTAAATATTGCAGGTGACCAATCTGATGAAGTTTTAAAAACATTTGACAACAAAGATTAGGAAAGATTCTGGTGGATTCCTATAGTGGAGGAAATTGTCCGAGCAGTACAGAGAGGCGAGGCGGATATGTTGTCTAATTAATGAAAGCAGAAGTTGAATCAAAGCATTACCTATATTCTATATTATTCATGAGTAACCTATCTGAAAAAAAATATTGGATTCAATGGTAAGTACACAACAGACACTGTGTTAAGAAACGTTGCTGGTACAATTGTAAGAGCAGTTAAACTGATCAATTCATCGTCATAATTCAATCTAATATATTTCACAGAAAACAAAGTACATACTTTAGTAAAATGTTAACATTAAAATTATTTTGATCTATTGATGACTGATATATTACTTTTAAAGTTGATGAAATACTAGAATGATATTGTTCAATTGGAAGATTTGAAATTTTAATTATATTTGTCTGGATGTAATTGTTACTGATTATACTTATCCCAAATTATCAATACCGTTATCTAAATAACCTAGTTCAAAGTAATTTAATATTTGATATTTTTGATTTTAATATTGAGTAAATTTCAAAAATACCGTAAATATAGTAAAGACAAACAAAGCGGATGTTTTATTCTGCAATTCTTCACTCGCCTTGTTGTCTTTATTTCTGTATTGGAATATTTTGCATCTTTGTTACAATCTTCTCTAAAAATATTACTTAGCGCATAAGAATTATTTGACTTCATTAGTTTTTTTTCGGCAGGTTAAGTCTTATCGAGCAAATTTGAAAATACAGATGACGATTCAATGATGACCCGTGTCTACTTCCGATTTTGATTTACGTATTTTATCGTGTGAAATCTAACCTAATTATTCAAAATAAATTACATCAAAGCATGGACGTTTGTAAAATTTTAATCAACGAATGCCAAGAAAGATATTACGACGTAAACATACGATAAACCGTTTAATATACGAACAAATCTGTGAACTGTTTGTACAGACTGAAGCAAATGATAAAACTTCATGATGTAACCTATCCTATCCTAACTGTAGTTATTGCAACACTATGTCAGTGATCTACCTGCGAGTCTCTAACGTTTCTGGTTTGGCTCATTGTGCTTTGCAACATCTGCTACATTTTCGCATCCTATATTGGTGGGTTCATTGTGAAAAATTGCAAATTTTATGATCTGAAAACAAAATGATATCAGCGTCAAATCGACGCATCATTTTGAAATCAAGATGCAGGGGATATTAAAATAGTTTTGTAACGACGTAACTCACATCTATGACTTGCTTAGTTACCAATATTATCTATCCGCTTAGCAAGCGACTCTATAAACAAGCAGCTGATCAAATATTATGAACCAACCATCTGTATTTTGAAAAAATTATCCAATAATAACCCAAAGAATCCCGCCTCGAATCATCGATGATTGAAACATGAGCATCTAATTTGTTCCTTTTAGAAATACGAACTGTTAGCATTCAGTTACATTTTGTATTAACACTAATAATAGTTACTTCGCAAAACAGCTCACTTTGTACGAAATTCGTATGAGTACACAATACACATTAATATCGTACTCTGCTGTATTGAAAGGTACAACAAGGTGACATCCCCATAAAACATTACAATCCCAGTAATTTACACCAAGTGTGAGATACCATACTCTTCATAACTAAAAGTGACGCCTGGGTTATTCTTGTTTGTTATTGATGTTATAAAAAACGGAATTTTATTACAATTGTAGTTCATCGTTGACATAAAATACCAGCTTACACGTTTCAAGTCGATGTTTTTTCCTGAATATATCTTTCGACTCCGCGCGATTGTTAAAAGCACAAGAATCACGAAAACAGAACCAAATCTACACTTCATCCTTTTACCATCCTCAAATCTTGAGTGAGGAATAGGCTTAAGGAACAATAAGCTATATTGTGTATATGCTGTCGGGAATCGATAGTAAAGTCGAAAATCATTAGAGGGGAACTGCATAATTCATGTCTCAATGTTGTTTACTCTTTTTGCTGCGCATGTAGATTGTCTCGGCGGTGTGGCGTATTGTGCTAAGCGTGAAAATACGCTTGACACATTACCTGATTGCCCTCAATGATTTCGTTAGTTCGCATCTCGTGGAAGATAATTATGTGTGAGAGGATTGCTAGACTCTTGGCCGCCGTTGTAGGATGGTTCGCGCAATCGCTAGAAAATTACGGCTTTACTCGACCATCAAGCCCATCCATGCGCAGAAAACAAAAAACTGGCTTACTGACACCATACCGGCGACATGGTAACCGGACGATAGATTCGCCGTATGATTAAGTCGTATTATCGGCTTTCCTCTCCCCCGAAATAATTATGCAAATTGTAAATCCTATTCACGGTGACCGTAGATTTGAACCCATGTACATTTGAACCCATGTGTATATCCGCGGGTTCAATCTATATGCGGGTGCTAAAACCCATGGGTTAGGGTTAGTATGGGTTCAAATATCCGTAAAACAAAAAAATTTCCATAGGTGCAATAGTATGCAGGTGCAATTGTCATGGGTTCAAATGTACGTGGGTTCAAATGTAATGGAACCCCTATTCACGCCTGCTAAACCTGAAGCGCAATGCTCGTGTCGAACCACCCCATCACGTGTTGGAGTTGTGACCGGCTAGATTCCCGTGAAGCGAGATTTTCACTTTTAATAAGGTAATCTCGAAGTCGAAGAATGCTGGCGGCGCGTCGTTTGTCAAAGGCGGTGATCGATTCTTTAGTAAGGTATTCAGTTGGTTATGGCCTCTATATCGCAAAAACTTGATACAAGGAGAGGTAAAACTCACTGCAGGATGGCTGTTTGCAGGTATTGCGACAAAAACATTGTTTAACTAGTAGATCGCGTGGCGAAAGTTAAGTTCCTTTGCATTCTTATTTTTCAGTATAATTGATGCTGAAATTTGATTTCCCTAGAAGACTAGTTATAAAGTATATTATATTGCAACAATATAAAAGCTTGCGTAACAAGATATGTTTTTAAACAAATGCTTTACCTATTTTGCTGTTGTTTTATATCTTTTTGTATTTAATAGATTAAAACAAAACGATAGATGTAAAAAGCTTGCGTAAGCGATTCTAGGTACACTCTGAATCACTTTTGCATTTTTTATTGAAATACTGACAATAGTATTGAGAAAAAGTGCACGGAAACGATTTTGGTTATAAGAGTAGTAGTATGAGAACACGTACAAAGGCTTGCCACAACAACAAACAATCTCAAACGCTCTACATTTGCGCCTTAAAGCAAACCTGCTGGTGTAGGCTACACTTACACGATAATGATGACATATGACGAACAATAGCATCCAAAACAATTGCACCGGGGCATCATGAGATAATGTGTAATGTTTATAAATCCTTCACAACATTTTGTCTGTAAGCGTTCTTGTTCAATCATTCATTTTCACTGGGATATTCACAAGGTCGGATGCGATGTCGCTGCGAAATTCTGTGCTAATATTTGTTGTGTTTCTATCGAGTGCATGGAGTCAAGAAATATATTCAGGAAACAAAATAGATATTGAACGCGTAAGTTACAAAATCAGATTTTAATAAAATAACAGTAACTATGCAGGTCATAAATTACATTTACAAAGTTACATTCCTATTTGAACTTGAAGCAATCTAAATGACTGTCAGCGCTCATAGAAATTTTCATTTTTCGTCGGCTTGTTTTGATTGTTATCTTTACCCTAAATCCCTAAATACTTAAACCTTTATACCTTGAATAATGGTAAACTTTGATTTGCATCATGGAGATAAGCGAATCGAAAGCTATAAATTAACGGTAGCAATAACAGTGGGAAATTTTTAAAGTGATTCGATTTTTTTTCGGGCGGGGGGGGGGGGGGGGGGGGGAGGGGGCGGTCAATGGGGTGTACTACTACACCTATAACAAAACTGATTCATTTGTAGAAACAGACTCAAAGAATATATAGGCATTGGCGCATATTTTTATGGATTGTTTGAATGAAGTGTAATTCATGAGATTAATGTTATCAGATAGTGTATTCCATAACTGAACACCTGTGAACACCATTTTGGGGAATTTTGTGGAAAAACGAGTTACATATTATGAGATACAGCCAAAAAATTCACATCTTTCAACGACTAAAATATAAATTATTTTACAGTTGCAAGGAGTGTGGTTCCTGACGTTTGGGGTAGATTACTGGTCTTGGAATGTTTTGTGGAAATGTCATATTATTGCTTTTTTCAACGTAACAGATAATAGAATGAGTCGTGCCTCGTACAATTTTTTCAAGTAAGCCTTGTAATGTTTTATGAAAAATACATTGTATATCTGATAAGTAATTAAGCCTTATTCATTATTTGACAGGAATAAATCAGAGGCCCCGCTTTCCGTCATTGACGACGTCAAGCGCGATTCTCAGGGTCAGTTTTGGATGGAAGGGCCTAACGGTAAGAGCATTTTACAAAACTAATCATTCGATTTCAATTCCATTAGTTCCGAACTGTTTCATCCGATATTTATGCAGAAAACACATTGGAAATCTCAGAAACAAAACTGTTTGAAGAGGAAAGAAAACTTGTATCGAACATGGAATATCCTTCTCAAGGCAAGTAGTCTCGTCACATCAAATGATCACTACGTTTAAAAAAGAAAAAGTTAACACTTTCTTACTTGTTACTTCAGAAGAGGCCTGGTTCTTCTCCCAACCGCACTTTTATGCGACCGACTACTTTACTTTCATCAGTACCCTGATGATAATGGACGATGGTAAGTAATTTGTTGCCTACCCCGAGAATGCACAGAACGAGTTGTCTTCTCATATCAGGGGTAGTTGTATTTTCAGACTAGATTCTACTAGGGTAGGCCATCGACTTGAATCGGAAATTAGAACAGTTGATCTTAGAACACTGTATATATCTATATCTAATGGGTCTAAAAAACTATGACGATAGAATGGTGATTCAAGCAACAAAGCTTAAGCAGACGTAGAAAAAATGCCGGCTATCCGCGGCGAGGAATCACTTTGATGATCAGAATTGAAAAACAACGGATTTGCATACAGATTTTCAAGTACAGCTTTTTGTACAATGGAAAAATTCAAAATAAATAAATTGTCTTACCAAATGAAGAATGGCGAAAAACATGTAAACCATCAGTTTCCAAGCGCAAAAACAAAGAATGAAATGGATTCTGGTGTATATGGAAAACATCCGGCAGGCTACAGAAACGAATAATAGTAGCCCATGCCCTAAAATATAATATTAAACAATCTTAAATTTCCGTGTTTCCATCGATTTAGAAATCGCACTGTGACAGATCCCAAATATACTGAATAAGTTTCCTCATTTCTTGTAGGCTATGTATTAAATTACTACACTACAATAGTCGATATATTTTTTTGTTTTACAGGTCGGAAGCTTTTCAAAATTTTTAACAGGAATCCGACAATAAATCCTGAAGATATTACAAAGTTCACAGCACTCGCAGTTGAACAAGGAGTTGATCCAACCACGTTAACGAAATTCGGATGTGGTGACCTGAGCCCGTCGGAATATATGTTAACCTAATAATATTCTAAAAACGTCGACGTCACAAGTTAATCTCCATTCTCATATCCATGATTTTTTAAATATTTGAAGTTATGATACATAATTATCATTATTTAATTAAAATTATTGCTCGATTGGTATTTCTGTAACGTTTCGTCCGATGCCAGACTTTATCAGACAAGCACTATCAGTTGGGATTCCGTGAAACTAACAACCTTTCCTTGCCTTATCCTTTAAGCAAGTGCATTCGTATGCGTATAACGCAAGGGTGCTGTAGCAGGGTAAAGAAGACCATTCAATGGCGTTCGTGTTGGGGTCAAGGCTACAATATTAAATACAGTAGAAATCAAGTTTATACGTATAACGGTATAATGTTCAAATTCATATAAATCGGTAGTTTATCCATCTAGTTAGTAAATTTATCGCTAGCGCTTCCAATGTTTCAAATTTGAAGTATATTCAGTTTTAGTTTTTTTGAAAGGCGATCATAATAAAAGAAAATGTTACGATAACTCTACTCGTTGTTCAAGGATCCACATAATCAATTTATACAAATACGATAGTCAGTCGTTCCTACAGTGCTTTGTAGATATGTGAAGTGGGGCAAATTTAAGTTTGTTTTAAACTTTATCCACAAAGCATCGAAATTTTAAGTTTTGATTTGCCAGAAAATTGATCTCACCCCACGGATTGTAAAAGCATGTGGAATATAATTTGTTACGAAGTGTATTCAGTGTGGAGCTAAGATCTGTAGGCCGAGCCCAAAATTCGGGACGGGCCGGGCCTGAAATGTCAATCATTACGTTCGGGTCGGGCTTCTCTATCGCTGACTTTTTTTTTAAATGAGGCGTTTCGGTCGTCTTTTGGCCACGAGACACCGTGGTCTGCAACAAAAACAGAAGTTGCCTCATCAACAAGACGCATGCATACTGTACTAAACTCTTGCAATGACAATTTAATGGACTCTTAAATAAAATATGAAATTTCGGGTTTGCTTCGGGCTGCAAATCCAGTTGATTAGTCGGGTTCGAATCGAGTTTAATACTCTCGGGACTGGGTCGGGCCGGGCTGGAATTTTTGGGCCTGATCTTACCTCTAATTCAGTGTATACATCTTCACTCTCAACAAGACTTGTAGCAAGAGTGAATAAGAGTGAACGAGACTCTTCCCCATGTATTGAATCGCCGTCGCCGGTGATAAATATCATCAAGGAGTAGCATGCTTTGGTACAGCTGAAGGTCATGGCCCCAAGACCAGTGACTCACTTACATGTGGCAGATGCAGTCCAGATCATAGTTTCAGAAACATTTCGCCTAACACACACTGTTTTTGCTTGAATTTCGCCATTTAAAAACTAGAGAGGTAAATTAATTTATTGATTTTCAATACTCGTGCACGAAGGTAAAATATTCATTAGGCTCAAAATAAATATCAGCCGGGCTTCCGTATTCAAACATTTCACAATATATTTTGATATACTGTCTGGAAATTTTGGAAGTAAGTGTGGGTAGCGGAGAGAAATACTAAACGAGACTTCAAATAAGAATGAATATATATTATTCTGTGTACTTACAGTTGCAAGGGGTTTGGTTCCTGACATTTGGTGTAGATCAGGGCTTCCCAAACCAGGGGCCGTGGTCCCTCAAGGGTACGCAAGTCGAATTTTAGGGGCATCAAAGAGACCAATATCTATTGTGCTTTTTTAGACTCTTGATTCGAAATACAATTAATAAAACAAGTGTAAATCAAAAATTTCACGATTTCGAGTGAATACATCATCATACCGTGTTTCCCCGAAAATGAGACAGTGTCTTCAATCTTTTTTCCAAAAATAACCTATTATTTTTGTGGGGAGGGGGGCCTTTTATTTACATTTTTCAAATAAAAATACAAAGTTATATTCAGTTGTATTCATTTTCAAGACTTATGTCACATACCTCGCGCCGTGTATTCAGTTGTGTTCAGTTTTTTGTATTAAGTTGTTTTCAGTTATGTTCAGTTCTTCCTTCTCACCAGATAATAATAGGGTCTGGGTGAAACATTTCAAAATATTCTGATCTGCAAACACAGTGCGATAATTGTTGAAACGACTTTCATTCATAATTTCAGTTCTCTAAATTACCGACGGTAATACTGATACCAGCGGTTTGTGGATTAGGGTAAATTCAAACTAAATGTCGTGACAAGGTGTGCCCGATTGAGAACTGTTTGGCGAAACTGTATCTAAAGTGATTGATTAAAATTGTTCACAAAGATTTTCGCAAATCAGAAAGTGCATGCATGCATCGCTGGAGTTTATATGGATAAGATAATTAATAAAACTAAGTTACGGTATTAACCATTCATCCAATATGAATCTAGGTTTTGGGGGTTTGATGTTAAATTTTCGAGTGTTTGCATTTTCTTGTCATATATTCGCCACCGTATGCACTGCATCGCATACAATTATTTAGCCCCATTATTACGCGCACATTTGATTGTTTAGAAGCGTACTTGGTTACTAATATTTCCCCCGCTGTCTGGGTCGTTTTACCTTTTTGTTGCCATTTGTATCACTCATTTAACTTTGAAGGGTGATCAAATTTGTCAGTTTTGTATGTACCGTTGAACTGTTATCATTTGCTTCACCCGAATTGGAAAACATTTGGTAAGAGTTTTGCCTTTGTTGGATTTGTAGCAATCGGTGTACTGTTGAAGGCGAGGTACACTAATCACTCCCTTTTGTCTTCGTGTCCATATATTTGAGCATCGCTCTCTTGTTTTTTATTGATTTTTTTCTTTTCTTCCTTTTCTTGTGTAGCAGTGTACAATCTCGAAATGTGGCGCATTAAAATCTATTATGCGGATTTTAAGGAAAGTACAGCGTTGCTGAATCATGCTGATGTCGCTAGTCTACATTCGTATTGACCTTATTCATATTTGTTCGTCTTAGTCATTTCATGATTTCCATTAATAAAGTCTCTGCATATTGTGCTACAGTGTTTCTGTAAATAAAACTAGATAATTAAAGAATACATATGTCACATGCATAGAATACGAATATAAACAGCATTAATTAAACTATTATTTACTTGTCCGTGCATGTGATTTGCTTATTTTGAATAGTTTATTGTCTTTATTATATTTGAGGAACAGAAGACATGGTGATACAATATCGCAAAATTTGTTTAATAATTTTTGTCTAACTTTTATCAATAGCCAGCGATGGGTATATATGAATGGACGAGTGTGAGGTGGGTAAAAAAGCGAAACCTCTGGGGTTTTGAGGTATCTGTTGGGTTGGTTAATAAATGAACGTTACAGCAGTTAGCCAGCGTTGAAATCAGTAACTTATGCCACGATACATTCATTGTTATTACATATATTTATAATTTTTTTTTAAATGAATACTGTATATTAATTTTATTTATTCGTCGCTTTGGTGGATAGAGGCATAATTTATTCTACTAATTTAAATATATTCATCAGTGCCAGGATGAACAAACTTTTTTGGCAATTTTTGGCTTTTCTAATTATTTCTCTGTATGCCGATGCAGGATTGTCATGGTAAGTGATTTCAACTTAAATTTTTGCGACGAATATTGATCATTGTTATTGCGTTATGCTGTTTTGCGTGGTGATAGAACACATTATTTCTTTCCCAAGCGTATTATACATTCGCACAGATAAGTTTAAGACATGATTGATAAAAATAAATGACAGATACTGCAGTTGTTTCATTCTGGTTTATGGGCAATGTAATATCTAGAACAAGGGTTTTCAAACATTTGGGGCGCACCTCACAAGGACGTAGACAATTTTTTGAGGGGACGTGAAGCTAATTAAAAATAAAAAGATTTGGTAGATTTAATCTTGACCGCTTTATTTTGGATATCTATATGTTTGACATTTACTTTCCATCCATCCACGTGTTTTTTGAAAAACATACTTTCGCCTTACTATCTATTATTTTAGCTCATTGTTAGCTAGTTATTTTTGAGGTGGGGCGTTAATCTTAACAAATTCTAAAAAGGGGGCGCGGCTTAAAAAGTTTGAGAACCACTGATCTAGAATTTCCGAGCTAATTGATAATATGTGTCAGTGTTTGTTACTTTTTTGCTTCTATCTCTACTCCCCTCGAGTGTATATCAAAGACATGTATTATTACAATGTTCACAAACCTGATGTCCGACTATGGA